TGAAAGTTTCATTTTTATCATTTCATTATGGAAACTTTATCACAATATGCTATTCTATCTATCAATGAAAAATCTATCAATGAATTGCATGTGACGGTAATCACACTCTCGAATTACGTCACTGAAGAGATTTAATGATCCTTTACAAGGAGCAGGCTGCACTCGATATTAGTCGAAGACCTATATTTATATATCCACATATAATCGCTTATTACCATGGTTGGAAAAGTACAAATTTGTAATTGCCAAGGAAATGATCTCCCTGCAAGCGAAACAGTTTTCAAATTAAAACAAAGAATTTCTACCCTCCTTTTACACAGATTAGTCAAAGATGTTCAGCAACAGCGAATGACCTCAAACATGCAAGAGATTAAGTTGGTCAAGTCCAACTTAACTCCAAAAAGTGAAAGCACAACACATGTAAAAACAGCCACTGCCTGAATGAACTACCAGTACATTTCAGTCATGGACACATATAAACTTATGGAACACTGCATCTTCCGTAAGATGCAACATGGGACGTGTAGGTCTCAAACGAATTACCTGAAAGAAGAACAGAACATGTTCAGTGAATTCAGGCCAAAGCTTGATTAGGATGAAAGCATACTTGTCTTACTTACTTTCTTTCTTTCTTTCTTTGCCCCTGCGCCAGGTGTTCCAGTACTGCACTTGATCCCCACACCGTTCCCTGTTTTCTGGCACACACTGGATGATGTGGAGGAGCGGATGCACAGGCCCACGGTGGAAAACCTCACTAGGATCCTGGCCATCTTTGTGGCGGAGTACCTGAGCCTCTAAACATGCTGTCATGACCATCATACAGCAGACGTTTACTCACATGACCACGTGTTCAGCGCAGTAGGAGCTAATAATATCAGAACCACCAAAGAGACACACATGAAGCATAATGATGTTTATTTGGAGTCTGAATGGTACATGCTGATGATATTTTTCTGCTGAAAAGAGCCATATGTCATAATAGGACAAACACTCATGTTACAGCAGCTGTGTAAGCCCTTTTGCCATCCTTAAAGACACGGTTACACCATAACTTTGTGGTAAAAGGCTTTATTCTTTGGACTGTGAATAATGAACTAGAAATCATGTGATGTGCTTATGAACTACATTTGAAATGCTTTTGCATTCAAGCTGTGTTGGGGAAACCACTCTCGGTGCACTTTACAAGACATTGAGTTTGAAGAACCTGTGAGGAAAATTTCATGAGGCCTCGTTTTTTCTATTCCCGGCTGTTACCATTATCAACCAAAAATCCAAACGAAGATCCTGATGGATATTTATAAACTTAAGGAAGTTGTTACACTGTTTAATTTGCTGTAACTCGGCACAGATCACAGTCTGCCGCTGTATTGATACGCTACTCTTTGGGACCACAAAAATAAGTTACATTTTTCTATGTTGCAATGAAACGGAAGTAGCGACAGATCTTTTTTTTTCTGTAGTGTAACATATCCGAGTGAAACAGAAAAAAACGTGGGACTTGGTTCAATCCATTGGTTTTTTAATTGAAAGTTGGCAGATCTGAATGTGAGCTTGCTGTCAATTGTAAGAAAGAACGGGTTTATGAAGATAAATTCATTGGAATAAGTAAAATGTACGTGTTTTCCTGAACTACAGTATGCACTGGAACGCAAAGGTTACTTTTCTAATTCTCAATAAGAGAATTTTACTGAACTTTACAAAAGTTTTCAGACTTTCACACTTTATTTTAATGTGTCCCTGTATAGATTTAAGTACCGAGGAATACATTATATACTATAGTGTTAAGCTAGGATAAGGGTTTGGGTGAGGGTTAGTTCTCAGTAGGGCTCTCATGCAATTAATCGCATCCAAAATAAAAGTTTGTGTTTACATTATATATGTGGGTGGTGCACTGTGTATAATTATTTTAGATATATAAATACACACACATGCTTGTATGCATTTAAAAAATAATTTCATGTATATAGACCATTTCACAAGATGTAAATAAGACTGGTCCAGAAGCACTTCCTGTTTCAGTTTGTAACTGTTTTCTTTATTTCACATGTAAAGAAAACATCTTAAAGGTGTTTGTTTAACTTTTTGATTCAGTTTTATATGTTCTGTTGGTTGTATTTTATCCCAGCTTTTTTGTAGTGTTAAAAAACTGAAACAGGAAGTGCTTCTGGACCAGTGTTGTTTACATCTTGTGAAATGGTCTATACTGTATATAGATTTACATATGAAGAGTTCAGATGCAAAAGCCTCTAAGTGCCATTTGAAATTTTCTTCTAGAATGATCATTTTTATCAAGCTTGTATATTTAAGTTCAGTGATTTCACTTAAATGACAATGATAATTACCTATTAATTGTTATTTAAGTGAAATTACTGAACTTAAATATACAAGTTTAATAAAAATCATCATTAAAGAAGAAAATTTCAAATGGCATTTAGAGGCTTTTGCATCTGAACTCTTCATATACTTTATATTATATATGAATATTTTATATATAAATAAAAAATTTTCCTAAATATACATGCATGTGTGTGTATTTATATACAGTATATATACTAAATAATTATAGACAGCGCACCCACATATATGATGTAAACACAAACTTTTATTTTGGATGCGATTAGTCGCGATTAATCATTTGACAGCCCCAGTTGTTAGTTGAATTGTGCATAATTTATAGTTCTTAGTATAGTTAATACATGTAACAATGACACATTAAAATAACGTGTTACCAAGTTTTCAAAAGTTACAAAAATAGTAAAATCAAAAAATGGCATATGCTGACAGCTGATGCTCTGTTTTGTTAAAGGTGCTGTAAGTGATTTCTGTCTGACTGTCATCCAAACCCTATTCATTTAGCTGACGCTTTTACCCAAAGCGACTTAGAGTTGCTATATATGTCAGAGGTCGCACGCCTCTGGAGCAACTAGGGGTTAAGTGTCTTGCTCAGGGACACATTGGTGTCTCACAGTGGATTCGAACCCGGGTCTCTCACACCAAAGGCATGTGTCTTATCCACTGTGCCACCACCACTACTTCAGAAAGCACAAGCACATAGAGACCCCAGACAGCAACAGTGTCGGCCCACATCTGGTACTCATGGATTCCACACGGCCCAGATGTGGGCCGGATCTGTTGCTGTCTGGGACGGCTAAAAAGAGTCCGCAGATTCCCCTGACTCAACAGTTTACAGCGGCTAACAGAGTTAGCTGTGTTTATAAAGACACCTATTTCAGACAGTTTATGTATGTGCAAACACACTTACAGCACCTTTAAATGACCGAGCTTTGCCTTTTGCCCTGTAGTGCACTGCATTGGTTCAGTAGTGTGCTGGTCCCAGGTGTCTGAGAGGAGGCGGGGGCGCAGAGAGCTGCTGGGAGCAGGAGAACCGTGAGCTGGGGCTTCCTGGAGGAGAGAGATCCTCATCCGAGCTCAGGAACACTCCCGATGATGTTCTGCTGGAGCACAGGATATCACATCTGAAATGTGTCCAACTGAGACCAAATATTAGAGTTAGAGATCTGTGCTGAATCTTTCTGTTTGTGATTCCTCCAGCAGGGGGCAGCACAGAGCCGATGTTAGAGAAAAACAAAAGAACACAACTTTTTCTTTCTAGGCTCTTTTATCATTCAAGCCAGAGGTTCTCAATCAGGCTCCATTACTTTTCCAGTTTTCGAAAAAGAGAAAACTATAGAGATGCCACTAGAGTTATTATATACTTTTCAGACCTAGAAATCATACTGTCAAAATTAGGCTCATTCATATATCCAGTGGAAAGTTTGAAAACCCTAAAATTGTTGTTAAAAGGGGTGAATTAGAATAAGAAATACATTGATTTTGTTGTTTTAGCTCAATGTAATGCTTCTAAAGTTGTTCTCTAAACCTGTATGAATTTCTCTTCTGCTGAACACAAAACATATTTTGAAATGTGTTGGTAACTTAAAGGGTCATTTGCATTAAGCTTTCCATTTGTTAGAAACCCAGTCATACTATTGAGTGGTCGTGTGCAACACTCTCTCATTTTCCCCTGAGACGAGAGGAATCCGCTATTTACCTTTTTCACTTCCTCTTACTAAGACGCAAAAAATGTCATTTTACATCATTGTAGGAGGAAGTGTAAGAGGGGGGATTTCTGTAAAGACTACAAGCACTAGATCCCACCCTTTAAAACCCGCCCAGTTGGGCCCAATGCGCTAACAGACCAATCACAGATCAGTGCCAGTGCGTTTGAGTTCCAAAACGTTACATTGATGTCTACATTGATGGGTGGAGTAGTGGGAGTGGCCTGCGGAGCTGAGCATTGCAATCCACTATGGGGATTGTTGTCTACAATCCACCAGCACTAAAAAGTCATTTTCTGCCTTTTATCTGCCAAGAAGGACCCAAATTAGAAATTTATGATCCCATTCTACTACATATATGACCCACTTTCAATACATATTCATGTCTCCACCGGTGGAATTACCCTTTAAAAAGTGACGGGACCCCATTGACTTTTATAGTATTTTTTTCCAACTGGTAACTCATATTCTAAAAATATATCTTCATTCATGTGTTCAGCAGAAGAAAGAAATGCATGCAGGTTTGGAACAACTTGAAGTTGAGTAAATGACAGAATTTTTAATTTTTGGATGAACTATCCCTTTAAGTCCCTCTTGAGATCCCCTAGTTGAGAACCACTGGTCTAAAGCCAAACTTTTCGTAGTGCTTAGTAAGAGTGTGTCAGCGGGGATCCACTATGTTGCTGGCTCCTCGTGTGTGTTAAAGGAGTAGTTCACTTTTAAAAAAACTTTTGCTGATAATTTACTCACCACCATGTCATCCAAGATGTTTATGTCATTCTGTCTACAGTCGAAAAGAAATTAAGGTTTTTGATGAAAACATTCCAGGATTTTTTTCCATATAATGAACTTCAATGGGCACCAAACGGTTCAAGGTCCAAAAGACAGTGTCAGTGCAAACTGTTCAAAGGGCTTTAAACAATTTCAGATGATGAATAAGGGTCTTATCAAGCAAAATAAAAAATAAATAACAAAGTTTAAGTTTTATAAGCTCAAATGGTCACCTTGCTCTGTTAGGGTGTAAGGCGCGTTCGTGACTCTCCTATTCAAACTTGTTCATCAAAATGAACGAATCTTTTCCCGAATCAACTCGTTCATTTCGTTCGTTGAATGATCCAAATGACACGAAAAAAGATTCATTCATTTTGATGAACGAGTTCGACAGGAGAGTCACGAATGCGCATCACAGAACAGAGCAAGGCGAGCATATTGAGCTTATAAACCTTAAACTTTTTTTTAATAAATGAGTGATCGTTTCGCTTGATAAGACCCCTATTCATCGTCTGGAATCGTTTAAAGCCCTTTGAACAGTTTACACTGAAACTGTCTTTTGGACCTTGAACTGTTTGGTTCCCATTGAAGTCCATTATATGGAGAAAATCCTGGAATGTTTTCATCAAAAACCTTAATTTCTTTTCGACTGAAGAAAGAAAGACATGGACATCTTGGATGACATGGGGATGAGTAAATTATCAGCAAAAGTTTGTGTTTAAAGTGAACTACTCCTTTAAGTGAGGGAGTTTCTCTTACTCTTGTCGGCTGGTCGCTGCTCTGTCCCGCTGTCGCCGGTTCTTGAACCAGTTGCTGACTTGTGTGGCGGTGAGTCCAGTGACTGCGGCCAGATCTCGCTTCTCTCTCGGCGAGGGGTAAGGCTTTCTGCGGTACCACTCTCTCAACACACTGCGAGACTTCTCCTGCGAGCAGAGGGGGCGATAAAACCTCTTGAAATCTCTCCCAAAGAGAAGCAAGCAAAAAAACAGACGTCTCTTGTGTTTAACCTTCTGATGCTGTCCGCATGTCGGTCAAAAATTACCAAATTTTTTCCCCCAATGAAATGATTCCAATTCCAATTTGATAACCGTTTTTCATTTAATAATTTGTATTTTTAAAGGATTCTGTGGTACTAAATTATATCTGCAGTAGTTATAATCAATTAACTTAAGCTTGAAAATTAAATGTCCAGTTTAAACTGTTATAAATCTTGAATGCTTCTGCAATTTAAAGTTGGTCTCTTTTTAAAGAAGCCACTTGGCAGATTATCCAAAGCTATCTCACGACCAATTCGTACAAATTTGTATGAGTGATTAAAAGTGGCTAATATATACTAATTCATATGACCTCGCTCGTACGAATTCCTACGATTTGTCCAAACCCACGTGATGGGTAGGTTTAGGGGCGGGGTCAGGGGTAGGTCATTCGTATGAATTCATACAAATTAGCCACTTCGTAAAATATGTACGATTTAGCAAAAATCTTACTAATTCGTACGAGTGAGGTTGTACGAATTGTTATGAATTAGCCACCTCGTAAAATTCGTACGAATTCCCGTGATTATCGCTGAAGTGAAAATAAAGTGGGCTTGAACAAAGTTATAAAATGTTACATTTGTTATAAAAAATAGCATTTTAAATTTAATTATTTATTTGAAAAATATATTTTACACACTAAAACTGAAAAAATAAAATAAAATCAAAGCTAAATCTAAACAATCAAAGCCATAAATCTTAAACAAGCTGTGTTCCAAATTGTAGGTTGATATCTTAAAAAAAAATAGCTTTCTGTGAGATTTTGTTTGGGCCGCAAAACAGCATTGGAAATGATTAATTCCCAATCACGCGGTCAACAATACAAGTGACTTTTTTCAGAACTATTTAACCTTTTCGAGCCATGCCAATGCCAAAACCTTCACCAGATTTCGTAGCATTCCGATAAAGTAAAAAATCCATTTTTTGGGGGGTCAAAAAAGATCCAGTTTTGCACCAGAGGGTTAAAACAGTGTGCTACACCAACAGACTTGAAAACCTTGAAGCAGTAGCTGGTCTCCTCTCCATCCCAGATGGTGCGTGGAAGAGGAAACTTGCGACGAATGCGGTACTTCCCCACGGCTCCAAGAGGGCGTCCCCGCTGAAGTTCAGCCTCCATGTAGTGAGCGCGGAGCCAGAGCTGTTGGAGGAGAGGGTGACTGCGCAACGAGAACACGTTCCCCTCCAACAGGGCGTACAGCTCAGAGAAACGGCAGTGGTGGAAGGCCACCGCAGCCCTCGCCTTCAGCACGCTCTCCTGACTCTGGCCCATGGACACATACACGTGGGATGAGGTGGAAACAGAAGGTAAAGAGCACAAGAAAGAGGACAAGCGATCCATGCTTCCACTCTGGAGAAGAACCTCACAAACACACGCCACCTGCTCTGGGGAGAAGCCCATCGCCATGATCCAACCAAGGATGGTGGAGGGAGACTGAGGAATTGCTCTACAAAACAAGTTGTAAAATGTCACACTACAGTACAGCAAGCTTTACAAGACTACAGAAGAAGTGAGCAAAACCAAAGTACCTTCTGATGTGAATGCAGAGTAGGAGTCCTCACAATAGTCCTTTTCGTTGTCCGGTATGAACAAAACGACATGAAAAGCCTGCACTTATTGTTTCCCAATAAGTGCAGCTGACGAGTGTGTCGGATTTTTTGTTTTAGCAGGTTTTACCTTCAGCCGCAAAGACCCGCCCAGACAACTTGGTACATGCAGGTAACCGGAGAGCATAGGGGTTAAAAAAACAGACGGGCACCAACACACACACACACAGACCTATCAGACTAAGTGTTGTTTGTATTTGTATCAATTACCTGGGGAAAATGTCAGGTGCACAATGGAGCTTATTTAAATGTGAAGGCAATCTTATTTTCTAATCAAATCATGGTGGCAGCATTTGTTAAGACAATTTGGTTAGACATTGCATTGCAGAAATAAGTGTCTATCTATCTATCTATCTATCTATCTAATGCATATGCGAGTAATGCACAGCAAAATCCCTAGTGTTCAATTAACACTGAGAGTGTGAATTATATAAACTCTGAGCAGTGTGTTAAATGAACACTGAAGAAGTGTTAAAGTTAATGGGATAATTAAACGAATAATTGAGTGATGATTGAACATTATTGAAAACCGGAATTGTGTCACCATTATGGTGATCAGTGTGTGTTTTAGCTGGGCTCTTGACCCTTAATACGTACATTAGTTATAACAGCCAGGTGAACACATGGACAAGGTGATCTGATGGTATTGGTTGTGGTTTAACATAATACACAACTCAGAGTTTATATAAATCACACTCTCAGTGTTAATTTAACACTGGGGATTTAGCTGTGTGATATGAAGAAAGTGTGTGTCTGTTACCTTCTAGAGGGAAAACAATGACAACGATAATGTCACCGTACTAAGACGAAGGTGTTTCAGTAAAAGTGCCTCTAAAAACATGTAACTTTAAATTAATTTTAAACAAAGAGCATTCATGTAGCATTATATATGTTTATTACATATCACAATAAAATGGAATATAAAAAATAAAATAACTATTCGATACAAAAACACCTCTGTAAAAAGAGACGTGGTTTACAAAAAGGACAAAAACTCCCTTTGAAATGATCCAAAAAAAAAAAAAAAGTCTTTGGTTTGATCAGCTGCATATTTTTCTGTTTGCACATGAATGTGAACGGAAAGTATTAAAAAGTGAACAGAACAAACAAATAGAAATCTACTGACTAAAATACATGTGCATTAACATAATAATCATTACATTCTGGAAGAGTAATAGCAATACTCAGGGACAAACACATATACACGCACACATTCCCTTACTTTCCAAAAAAAGTTGAAACATTGTCCAGGTTCTTTGGGGGGCAATATAACAAGTCAATATAACATCATTCTATGTAACATAAATGTGAAATAGATGCTACACAAAGCAAGAACTCACAAAATGGAGTGTAGACCTAAACAACAACGAGGGAAACTGCTTTAAGGTTATCATAAAATGACCCAAAAATGATTGGTAAATGCATTAAATATTGTTAAAGACAAAAAATACAGGTATACTTTGGGCTAGAGTTTAACACAGGTTGACTACGGTCCACCAAGGAAAAACATCAAAATCTCACAGGCCTAATATTCCACAAAAGCCCTAAATATACAGTTGAATGGTTTAAAATTAGCACCAAATATTGTAGGGGCAGAAATAAAATGAAAATGCTTCACAAATAAACTTTAAAATGTGCAAAACATACAGAGCTGCTCTGCATTAAGCAAATCAGTTGTGTTAAAAAAAAGTCATACTTGACTAAACTGCATTTGATTAAAGTTAGACAAAAACAGACATTTCCTGTAGCTATGTGGAAATCCTAGAATTAAAATATTTGTTTCAGAATAGAAAAAGAGGAAAAACAGGACAAATGAAAAACATGGGGAGAAAAAAAGAAACATTTCACTGTACATGTACATTGTGGATCTGTAGTGTAAGAAGTGGCTGTTTTTAACAGTAAACAAATCTTAGGGTTCAGTAATCATGCAGAACAGTTGCATAGACTAATATTCAGTACTTCAATTCCCTTCAAACACTAGAGCCTACATACATTTATACACAGTTTCATGGTAATGCTTGATTGAGTAAGCTCAATAGTTTATCTACGGAAAACAATGTCAATTATCTGTCGTATCAAAGCGTACAGGATTTCCATGGTCAGCGTAGTGCACCATTATGAACTTATTGTATACAAAAGAATATAAAAATAACTAAAATTGTAAGAGTGCTTCATTACGTGTTCACAAGTATGTCCAAGCATTCCTCATTGCAGTACACGAGATCAAGGGGGCGGAGTTGGATCCAGATCCAAGGGGTGGAGCTGGGTAGGATTAGGGGTGGGGTTAGGGATCAGGGGTTGGAGCTGGGTATGATTAGGGGTGGGGTTAGGGATCAGGGGGTGGAGCTGGGTAGGATTAGGGGTGGGGTTAGGGATCAGGGGGTGGAGCTGGGTAGGATTAGGGGTGTGGTTAGGGATCAGGGGGTGGAGGTGGGTAGGATTAGGGGTGGGGTTAGGGATCAGGGGGTGGAGCTGGGTAGGATTAGGGGTGTGGTTAGAGATCAGGGGGTGGAGCTGGGTAGGATTAGGGGTGTGGTTAGGGATCAGGGGGTGGAGCTGGGTAGGATTAGGGGTGTGGTTAGGGATCAGGGGGTGGAGCTGGGTAGGATTAGGGGTGTGGTTAGGGATCAGGGGGTGGAGATGGGTAGGATTAGTATATGTAAATTAGGAAGAGTTGGATCTGGATCCAACTCCTCCCCCTGTATTTCATGTTCTGTGTGATTGAGGACCATCACACGCATTTTGCCATCCACAAATCTGATACATGCACCATCCATTCACCAAGGTAAAGAAAAGGAATTAAAACAGCACCTGAACCAAGCTGTTGAATGTAGTTTATCCAATGCAGTTGTGGCAGGCACATTTAAAGGTTAGTGTGTTCCACCCAGTGCTGTGCGTTATTGAACCATTATATCGGATTTCCTTCTCCCAGTGCAGGGTGCTGCCGGTGCATCTATGGATCTTTATGAGCCACCTGTACAGGGGTTTGTGGTAAAAGCTCCCAATGCCTAGCTCATGTTCAGACCCATTTCACTCCAGGATAGCCATAAAGATGTATTTACCTCCATTACATAGTCTTTAGGAGGAAAACTGAATATGACTTTTAGGCTTAAATGATAAAAGTTCTGTTCAGAGTCATTTTATCTATAAAAATGAGAAGTAACAAAAATGTAAGGCACAATAGAAGGTATTCCCGCATGCTCTTCACTCCCAGATAAAACAATCTTGATTGCCTTGTACACATTAGTGCCTTTTAACCAGCCATGGTAGCCCTTGTATCAAGCCACAAGCTCTGTTTCATCAAAATCAGGGCTAACTCAAACTTAAATTTCTAGAGGTGAATATTGGTTATACAAATGTCATCTCTGACAAATGGCAGTGCCTTTACCTCTACTGAAATTAAAATCTCTAGTCATGCCCTTGCTTAATACATTGTTTTCACAAATGAATTCAAGATATATGAGAGAGGTTCTTTTCTTAGTTATTAGATTGAATACTTCCACTACTCGTAAATCATAGTTCCTCTCGCTTCAGGGACATGGTTGAATGCAACTCTATCAAGGCTGAGATTTAACACGAACTGCATCTAGCAGGCTGTCAGTAGAATTGGTAATTACAAGCCCAGGTCATCATCCACAGGAACAGACTGCAGTTGAGTAAGAATTTTCGAGTCCCCGTCCATGTCCTCCACTTCATCCAGCTGAGAATCTCTCTCTATGTCCTCACCGGGAGGAGTGCCCAACAGGAGGGACTCTCCTCCTGGCAGGCCCAACAAAGCGGGGTCCTCTGGAAGATCCCCTTTCCCACGTATGTCAAATAATGTCAGACCAGCAGAGGAAGACAGTGGGACAGGGCTCCAGACTGGCTGGGAAAGGTTGGGCCCAGATGCCACACCGCTACAGATTGGACTGAGTGGCAGCATGCTCTCAGGGCTAAGGGTCTGCTGGGATTGTAGGATGCCTGTAGGAGTGGGAGTGCTGGATGAGTCTGGGGTGTTCGGAGAGGCTCCTGGGGTTGGGTTGGCAATGGTCCCTGGCTCAGGGCTGCAGTAAAGTGTAGAGGGCGCAACAAATCCCAAAGGAGATGGTTGTAGTGAATTTAAAGTTTGAGCCGTGAGTAAAGGTGCTGGTTGACTCTCGAGTGGATGTACAGCTGAGGTTTGAGGATCAAAGGTGCTGTTGCTTGAAACAAATTGTCTGGGACGGACTTGACAGGCATGCTGGCAAACTGGATGCCAGCTGGGATAGTAAGGATGAGTTTGCCGTTTTGAACACTTAGGATTGGACTGCCCCCGATGCCACCTGCTAAGAGGAAATTCCCTGGACACGAAAGCAGAGTAAAGACATCTCATTACAGAACAAAAGAAAAAAAACATCCGTTTTCCACTGCTTGTGAAATTAACATATGTGACATACCTGGAGGGGCAGACGGAAGCTGAATCACCCCAGAGTTGAGAAGCTGAACACCCGGGATGGTTCCAGTAGGGACACTCTGAGGAGGCCCTATCGGGCTAAGGCGTATCGGTCCCTGGGCAACACTCAATCCTGTTCCAGCTCCAGATGTCAAAATCTGGAAAGCACCTCCTGGGGATGGGATGGAAAGGGATGGTGTTGCTGGGACCACCTGAGGGAAGGAAAGGGTTCCAGTTGGAGTTCCCGCAATAGATGTCACAGGCATAAGTTGAGGCAGTGACAGGGGGACCAGCTGAGGTTGGCCTAAGTCTTTGGGTTGGGATATGGGAACGACTTGAGTCGGGGAGGAGATGGGAATGACTTGCGTCCCCATTGAGGTCTGTATCTGTTGAAGGGTGGCTGAAGTAGGGTCATCTCCTAGCTGAGGTGTAAGCACTTGTGTAACATGTCCATCAGCCATCTGGGGGAGTGATAAAGCACTACTGGTGATTAGTGTGGTGGATCCATTTTGATGCTGAGCTTGAGCAAATCTTGGACCAATGTGCAAGGTCTGGGTCTGAAACTGAGAAATGGGGACTTGGGGTAATTGTGGATTGACCGGGGAGACTGGAACAAGCTGGGGGCTAGATGACACCGTGGCCCCAGATGTAGGCTGCATCAGTTGAGAAACTGGAACGCCCTGTATCGATGGTACCACCTGGGGTAAGGACAGCACCTGAGGGCTGGAGATAGAGCTGCAAGTTGGTGAGTGAGGGTCACCCTTTCCTAATACAACAATTTCCGGTGGATGTGTTGGCTGTATTGGCACCATAGGACTGGAGATTACTGAACTCACACAGCCAGTTGTTGATGCAGAAATACGATTTGGGGCCAGTATCACCGAAGGAAGAGACGTGGAAGAGATGACAGAAGTAGAGATGGTGGACGAGGACATAGAGTTTGTAGGCCCTGACTGATTAATATCTGGATTCTTCAAGGCTTCTGGAAAACTGATGAAATCCAGCGGGGAAACATTGCTGCTGGCTGTTTTGGCGTCCTCGCTAAGAGAAAGGGGTATTGTGCTGTTTAGATTGGCTTGTGGATTCAGAACCACAGTGGGCAGGCTGCCTTGGGCCTCCATATCAATGATGCCTCTTTCATCTTTGGAGACTACTTGAGCCCCATTAAGTAGCAATGGTGCATTAGCTGTAACAGGACTCAGAGTGACTGTGTGGCCATCGCTCAGTGTCAACCCATTAATGATGACTCCAGTTCCTGCCCCTGAGAGTATAGGGCTCCCATTGAGCAGCAGTGGATGAGAGCTTGTGAGGAATCCCCCGGTGCTGTTGAGAATAAGCTGACCAGTACTGCAAGGAGCACTAGTGAGGGATATGAGAGAAGCATTGGAGCTGCCTGTCTCTAGAGAAGCAGGTTTGTCAGTAATATCCTCCAGATCTCCTTTGCTGGCTTCATCTTCTGTGCTATGGTTCCCATCAGATTCACTAAAGAAGAGATAGAAGTATTACATTTGGTCAAACAGTCTTAATGTAGGTTCGATCAATGTCTACCATCAATCTCCAATCCTCAAAAACCTTTAGACATCTGTATCAATTAGTGCTGCACGATTAATCATATCGCAATGTCAAGCGTATGCGATTATATGACACAAAATGCTGCGATTTTATATGAATTAAACAAATGAGGGCAGTTAACGCAATTAACACGGCATCTCTTTTTTCTGCTCATCCTTTGGCTAGTGTTATAATCCCGCTCTTATTCGTGCGAATGCATTTAAAACATTCATGCGTGACAAGTCAAACGTATCATGCACATGCACAGGCCTTGCGGGTGTTTTCATGGCTCTACAGTTCTCTTTCGCGCTTGAACGAACAATAATACACACAATTATGCCAAAATGTCGTTTTGTTGTGCATCTTCATTACCTAACAGCAGTCTTATAATGGACGTAAAGAGTTTTGTCAATAGCGGCAGTCATCATATTCTACATCACTCAACGATCAAAATAGGCTTTGGCCGGACAAAAATTTGCTTTGGTGGCCACCGAAAAGCGGATGATCTGACGGCTCTATTTGAGACCGGCTTTTATTTACCCAAACCTGCAACCACACAGGGCGTGTAAAAGAGACAAGTGTCTATTATTTGAAGTTTTATGGTATTTAGGAACCCACACTACCAGTTACGCATTATTTCCACATCTGCATATTTCACGATTACGCATTTTATTAGAATTATAATGAGATGAGTTAGTAAACCATGTTTTTTGCCCAAAATAAAAGATCGATGCCGTTTCCGTCAAAATAAGATATCATGTGCTTATCTCTTTCAAGTATAGAAATTAGTACGAAACTAATTATGAAAGTTGCTTTTATTTTTCAGTGCATCTGTTTTACAACATATGGCTATAACTGCCATGGGATTGATATTAAAACTAGTATTATGTAGAAGTGTAAATAATGTAAATAATTTAATGTAAATAAACATTTTAATTATAATGTGCTGTTCTTAAACCCACACCACTTGGCAGACTCTATATCACAACTAAAAGAGTTTTGAGTTTTTCTTTGTTCAATTTGCACACTGAATATGGGTTGGAGCTCTTAATTTTGAACTCTCAAAAGTACACCAGATTGATGATGACATTAAAAAGCAAAACATTTTTCTTACGGGGAGCATGCCCTAGAACCCCCCTAGAGGGACAGAGGTGCACTCAATACAGATTTCACAAAATACTGTGGGGGAAAAAAAAAAAAAAAAAAAAAAAAAAAAAATTTGGTATTGCTATCCCCCAATGCAACTTATAGCTTGTTTTAGGATGACTGTGTTCAACTTCGTAGTTATTTCATCTGTTAACTCTTACTCACTCCTATTCTCTTACACATATTCAAGGGCGTGCAACGTTTGGTTGAGTTTATGATCATATGTAGTGGGCCAGTCTGGGCCAGAATGCCCAGGCCAATTTTTTGTTCCAGTCCAGCCCTGCAGATGTGTCAGAAGAGGGACATTTATAAGGCATAAAAACGTGTACTCTGTGCGCAACAGTCTGTCCGTGTGAACTGAAAGCTGACAGGAGAGTTCAGCTGTCACTGGACAATCGCCAAACTTCCTTGATTTCAAACCTATGCTGCGCTATATCCAATTGCCCACTGTCATATTCAAGTCATTTTCACTGTGTGCTGTATGTACAATTAGTTGCCTTGTCTTTATTTGAAAAATAGGAGTTGCTTAATGTTTACTTCCTTTTTATTCGTATATTTTGAACAATTTCTTTATTTGTGAAAATACTGTAAAAGCATTTCAGAATCATAAAGTTCTAATTTATTAATTAAGTCAAATAAATTATAAATATAACCGCCTTATATGGGCCATCGGCCAACCGTTCTCTAAAACAATGGCATCAACAATAAAAAAAATAAAAAAAATCTATATCGGTCGACCACTAATTATGGTTAAAAGATTTGATGACACTTCTCTTGAGAGGGACATCTCTTATCAATAATTTGGTATCTGGATTGATGATACATTGACTTTTGGTATTCATATTCATAGACCAAGGTTAGGTTTTTATTTTCATTTTTTTAAAAGTGTTTTTTAATGCAACAAATAGATTAGTACCCTCTTGTCAGTATTGGACTATAGTGATGTAATTTATAATGCATTGCATGCACCTTTATTTTACTGCATGTAATCTATCATTCTGCTTTACAAATTGTAACTGGTGCAAGTGTCCGTACACATCTTTGTAATTTATATGAAATGACACAGTGGACTTCACGTTCACTGTGCTTGAGGAAAAATCAGGTTAAATTTTATTTTAAAAATTAGGCACGTTACATATAAAATAGTAATTTTGCTTACTATTGCTAGCATTTATAGAACCAGATCAACGGAAAACTTTTACTTAAGACCATTTCCCTGCACAGAGCTGGGTAGACCGGTCTTCACCAATCATATGTAAAAGTGGAATGAGCTTCACGGTATACTACTTAACATGATGGGATCTGTACCATCTCTTGATCTGTTAAAAAAATATTTTTATAGAACAATGCATTTAATATTAGCATTATGATTTCAATTGTTTTTTTAGTTCTTGGTATGTTTTGAATTTGTTTAGAGTATTATTTTGAAGATTTAATGTATTTTTGCATTATATTATGAAATGTGGTTTTAGGGAACAAAACAGCAGTTTATTAAAAGAGCTTGAAAATAGTTTCTCTAGCCCTAGTTGACAAACCGTATAATAATAAACACTACACTGTCTGACATGTTGTTATCTGCTATCTTTGTGTGGCTTCTGCAATTACTTATTTCTGCTTGTGTGTGTGTGTCCCCTCAATGTCCTCCCCATCCTGAGATTTAACAGTCCATCCATGGACAGAAAGTCATTGTGGTGCAGAGTTTCAGGAAACTGGAGCCACTCCTGCGCCCCTATCTCACATTTCACAACAAAGCAACATGCTTTCAGCCTTGTTTTCTAAGATCACCATGTCATTTTCACACGTCAAAAACTTCAGCTAACAATGATAGTGCACAAAATATATTTAGCTTTTTCCACAGCTGCATCACCCAAACAATAAAATAGGCCTGCTGCATGAAGAGTATCCAACAAAGTAAGAAAGTAACATGACTGGGCACTCACTATTTGTAGCTCACACCCACGTCCTAGTGTTAACCTCCCACACAATAGTGATTTGTTTACAACTCTTTTCTCTCAGTTTGGCTCAAGAATGACTCTCTTGGGCCTAAAAATCGAAATGCAAAGCACTCACCTTTTGCTGTTGGTGCCGGACGGGGTCCGGTCCCTCTGTCGGCGATTCTTGAACCAGTTGCTCACTTGAGTCAAAGAAAGTCCGGTCACTTTGGCTAAATTCTTCTTCTCGACCGGAGTGGGATACCTGTTGATCTTGTAGCATTCCTTCAGAGCGTTGCGCGACTTCTCCTTGAAGCAGTACACCGTCTCCTCTCCGTCCCAAATGGTTTTGGGCAAAGGAAACTTTTTGCGCAGGCGATATTTGTCCACGGCGCCCAGACTGCGACCCCGGGACCTCTCAGCCTCCTTGTAGCGCGCCTTCAAGTAGAGGTCTTGAAGGAACCCATGGTTACTCGGGTGGAAGTCGTGACTGTCCAGGATGGCGTACAATTCTTTGAATTCCTCCCGGTGAAAAGCGACCAGAGCCTGGGCCTTCAGCAGGGTCTCGTTGCCACGTAGCAGATCTGCCGAAGGAGGGATGGTGGAGAGGAATCTCCACAGGCGATCCACATTGCCCGCTTGCAGGAGCGCTTCGCACAGACACGCGACTTGATCGGTGGAAAAACTGAGCGCCGAGTTCTGGAAGCTTTGGAGCAGTTGTTCCGAAACTTCGTCCGGATCCGGATCTGGATCCGTCTCCTCTTTCACTTTAGCTTCGTCTTGCGTGGACTCCTTTGAGCCGTTTTCAGTTTGTTCTGAGGACTCCAAAGACAAGGAAGCCATTTTTATTTTAACTTTTTTCCTTCAAGTTCCTCCTCCCTCCCCTTCTGTGTGTCTCTCTCTCCCATTCTCCCGTAGGCGAGCGAGCGAGCGCAGCTTCAGAACGAGGCGTGCGTGTCACGCCCCTGCGTTTCGTCAACCTCCCCCATCCAGACATCATCATCATCATCATCATCATCGCTTTGGAAGGATATTGATGTATTTATCAAGTGTAAGATTTGGCCAGGCTTTTCAATACAGATGAGAAACATTATATTTGGATATTTTGACTCAGACCCCAAAAATGTAAATATCTGCTTTGTTATTAATTTAATTCTTTTCTTAAGCAAATTTTACATTCAATAATGCAAATTCTCAAACTGTAAACCTGTTTTCTCTGTCTTCTTAAAAGAGATAGAAAATTATTTAAGTGTGATTTCAACATCTACTAATATGAAAGACTATATGACTATTAGAATCTACACTGCCTTTAATCTCTTCATGTGAAACCTTTTTATTTTATTTATTTTATTATTTATTTATTTTTGTTATCATCTCCTTTATTCTCAGCATTAAAAAAAAAATCATCATCATCATCCTCCGCAGGCCTGCTGCTGCTTTACCATTGTGGAAGTTTGTGTGTTTGTTTGTATACAACTCCTTTCAGACTCACACATGGACATGGTCATCTATACATAGGCTACATATTGAAGATAATGAACCCATTGATCTTTAGAAGTCTGATCAGGTCTTTGTATTAATCTTAACTTTTGTAGGCCTACTCTGCTTTAGTGTGTCACTAGGTAAATTCACAGAGACAACAGATGTGAGATTTCCAGCAACAACCAATGTGAGTGTGTGTGTGTGTGTGTGTGTTCCTGGTAACCCTCACAAAATGTTATCACACAAAGACGTCAAAATCTGAAATCTTTGTCCTTGTGGGGATATTTTTTTTGGCCCCAATGAGGAAAACAGCTTATAAATAATACTAAGTTTTGTTACTATGTTTTACTATATTACTAATACACTGTTTTTGGAAAATGTAAAAATTCAGATAGTTTTCTGTGATGGGTGGGTTTAAAGGGATAGTTCGTTTAAAGCCAGTATTTTCAATTTTGATATTTTTAGGTCAAACCGTTTGTGTCTATCAGTCATATAATGGAGGTCTATGGTCACCACCTCAAAGAGCATGCACAGAGAAGTCCAAATTAAACATGATTTAATGACTCCTAAATGTAAGTACACATTGATGGCCTAAGACACGAAACGAGCGGTTTGTGTGAGAAAACAAACAGTATTTATATAGATTTTACCTCTTGTAACCACAGCCACAAAGCGCCCACACCCTCAGATCACTTGGAGGTGGCTGTGGTTACAAGAAGTAAAATCTATATAAATACTGTTTGTTTTCTCACACAAGCCGCTCTTTTGACTGACTGATAGACACAAACGGTTTGACCTAAAAATATCAAAACTGAAACTACTGCAGAAACAAAGACACCTACATCTTGGATGCACTTGAGGTAAGCTGAAACATACCAAAAATTAATTTCAAAGTGAACTATCCCTTTAAGAGGATTAGTGCAAGGGGAGAGAATATACAGCGTGTACAGTATAAAAATCATTATATGAAAAGGCCCCATAGAACTTGAAAACGTGTGTGTGTGTGTGTTTTAAAACTTTGCATGCTGGGTGGACAGGGAGAGAAAGGGTTTAAATGTGAAAGAGGACACGCACACCTGGAAGCAGAAGGACAGAATGAGATGAAGCAGAGCTCTGTACCTCCATATCATCCCTTTGCAAGAATGTAAACTTTGTTTTCAGGAAGGCGGGAGACCAGGCTGTAGTCTGTCACCCCCATCCTACAACTGTCGAACCTCTCAGCCCAAACCCCCTCAGCCTTTGATCTTCTGCCTGTGCACACTTGCCTTTCAACGTAACCAGTCATGTTTCGCAGTGAAGAACTCTGCAAATAAGAAGTTTTCCCAATCACTGTATTTGCCACTGTGGAGTCAAAATTACATTTGCCTTGGATTTCAGGGTATCATGTCTTATATTATTGTATAAACACAACTGTATACAACTTTTGTATACCAGGTCTGAAAGTATTTCAACAAAATGGAAAGTGCAACTAACATTAGTAATGGATTAACTAACAATGAAAATATATATTTGTTACAGTATTTATAAATCTGTGTTAATGTTAGTTAATTGTAGCTCAGGTTAATTAAATAATATTTAATAAGATCACTACCACATAAAGAACAATAAATGCTTTAGATTTTTTTTTCACTGTTCATGTTAAGTGATGTTGTTAACAAATGGTACAATTTTAAAGGAAGTTTAACATTGACAGTAGGCCAACTTATTGCGTTGTCTAGTCACAATCCCAGTAGTGAAAATTAACTTTTCGTTAATTTTATTTTTTTTACTTGCATAAAATGGTAAACCTGATTTCACCAAGTGCAACATGTTCCTGGATAAACATCCGAGTTCTACATCGGTGTTATTCACTTATTTCCCTCGGTTTTTAGGGTTAGGACTACATTTTCAGACAGGAATGTTGTTCCAAGATCAACAAAATAGTTGATCCAGGAACATGTCTTACTTGGCAAAATCACGTGATCTGTCGTATTTCAAATGTTCCTAGCACCTATTTTAATATTTTAATTTGGTACCAGTCCTTATTTCTTCGTTTTTACAATAGTTAGGCAACTACTATCTATCCAGTAGCCTATTTAAACATCCCATTCCCAAACCAGTAGGCGCACATTTATTTTACCAGTTACAAAAGCAGTTTAGTTGTAATATGTTATAACTAGTCACAATGGCTACTTTATATTTCAGTTTAAAAAAAAATTACGCGTAAGATTAAAAATCCTTTTCAGGAGTTTCTGAGACTCTAGCAGCATCGTGTGGAACACATTGGCACTGCAGACATTTGTGTTTTCTGGCAGATTTGGGAGCGGTCTGCTTTTCAACAAAACAAACTGTGATTGGATAATATAAGGTTTCACTGAGCAGCCCGATTCGATAGAGTACGTTTTCCCCGCCCACTGAAGACTCATAACGGATTACTATTGGTTGAATTCAAAAGCCCGCCATTGGCTCAAAGGATAATATGGGTGGGCAGAATCTTCCAGAATCTAGCGGTGTGGTCTGTGACGGAAGATATTTTCCTAGCTAAAACAAAGAAGTAACGTTATATCATAGTTTGGGGTGTTTAATTTCTGAATACAGGCGTTAAAATATTGGTTCGCGTGTAACTGATGATATCTGAAGCTGACCGAAGCAGTGAATAAAGCGAAGATCTTGTCACGTGAGCGAGTGCATGTAAACATTGGCTAACTTAGCCGTAGCAAAACCAAGCTTTCAGTGGACATGACAAGATAGCTGTTCTGTCCAGACATTACTGCATGAATACTAAACACATATTTGATTTTCAGCTCGATCACACACTCCAGCACCAGACTTTGCTCAGCAACTGAAGATGGACGGGAGTGTGACAGTCATCAGCAACCCCACGGTGTCCGTGCGGGTGACCAGCACCGTCAGCTCCTTCGAGATCAACCGGAGATTCAACCGTGGCTTAACGATCGCAGAGTTTAAGGTGCGGCAGTGCAGATATGCGTCATGTCTTATTATAACCTAGTTTGTAGAAATGTCATGCGTCACACTAAGTTACATCTGAAATTGCCTATTGCAGGGTACATTATGTTTGGCTGTGAAGCTTTGCTTTCTTAAAAATGCCCATATTTGGCTTAAAAAATGTCAAAACAGATTTGGTGCGTATTTTCCCAAAACATTGTCAAATCACAGTCAAGAAGATCACTCTTGCTCTCTTGATTGCTAATATGGGTGGTGATCATGGTGCAGTGGATAAGACGCATGCCATTGGGTTCGAATCCACTGTGAGACACCAATGTGTCCCTGAGCAAGACACTTAACCCCTAGTTGCTCCAGAGGTGTGACCTCTGACATGTTTGTATAGCAGTTGTAAGTCGCTTTGGATAAAAGCGTCAGCTAAATGAATAAATGTAAATGTAATATTCAGCATAACAGCATTTGAAATTGCGATCTGCAACAATTGAGTAAAACATGCTGAGATTGCAGACTGTCCATGATTTAGTAAAAATGGCACACAGTCAGATAATGGATCATAATCCATACGGTTCCAGGGGGTTTATAAAAGTCTCTATTCTATAAGGTTCTATTTGGACTCATATTGCTCTTTTATTTTAAGTCTAACTGAACATGTTCATTTGCTTTACAGAGTAAACTCGAGCTGATTGTGGGAACCCCGGCTGCCTGTATGGACCTGGATCTATTCAGCACCACAGACAAGTTCTTACAGAAGCTGGACGACAATGAAGCCCTGCTCGGCTCCTATCATGTGGATGATGACTGCAGAATACATGTGGGTATCGATTCCTTTTCTGACACACCCCATCTACACAGAGAGCGAGAGACAGTACAGAATTGGAACGTGTAGATGATGATGTGAGATGATGATGATGATTCTTTGGACATTTTGAAACCGTTTTGCGGACATTAATAAAGATGTAATTGTTCTACTGTGTGCAGGTGACAGACCGCAGTGGTGCGCAGAGCGGAGAGTTCACTGATTTGTCGAAGGTGGAGAAATTCGAGATCTCTGATGATGCCTATGAAAAAAGGGCAGGTAATCAAAACATGGCATCAAATTTCTGCCTGCGACACATAGGGGTGGGGGACAAAATCGATTCTTAGATGCACGTGGGCGATTTTGAATCGATTCAGAAATGTCGAATCGATTTACAAAAAAACTATATATATATATATGTGATACATTTCCGATTGCCTTTTTTAAAATCAAGTGTTTCACTGCTTTAACCCATGATATACAAAGTTCCAATAAAATGAATTGGCCCTAAACCACTAAGAAATTTGCATCACACACATTTTAAAGTGCCTTTACCATTAACGTAATGTCTGTTCTCTATAAAATATGTTAGAAAAGCAAATATCTAACTTCTCAATTTTCATGCATGCCAGATTCGATACGGAGCTTCAAGAAGAATATGAAGTTGGGTCGTTTTAATGAGGAAAACAGGGTCAAGCAAGAAGAGGCTCTTGCTAAGAAAGAAGAGGAAGAGAAGGCAGCGGCTAAAGCCATCACTGCTGGAAACCGTTGTAAAGTCGAAGTTTCTGGGCAACCCACCAAGATTGGCACCGTCATGTTTGTGGGTAAGCTTACCATCATTTTCATATCAAACCTCTCCTCAACACTAAGGCCGCCGAGCGCCCAGCGTTTTTACTGGTCGCTGGGAGTTGAAAAATGTTCAACTTTGGATAAAACGCAGCACTCATCACGGTCACTTTTTACCCAGCCGTCCAATCACAGTGGAGAAGGGGCGGGACTAATACCACACCGACCAACTGTCACAACATTCAAACTGCTGTGGATATTCTGTATCATAGCAACGAAACGTCTCAACGGAAAAAACGCTGCACTGCCAAAACGCTCTCAAGCGCCCAAAGCACGGCGTCTTCAGCAGAGCGTCTAGCGTTTTTAAGGTGGACACACGGCCTAAGGATTTTTTCTACTAGCCCTGTCAGTTATTAAATCATAACCTAATTTAATCTCACCTACTGCTCTGATTTACCACGTAATTGTTACATATAACAGAGCCCATTGGTGGGGTTAAATATCTAATAATAAATGTGAGTTATATACTCTAAAGCTGTGCATTTGAGTCCTGAACCTGTGTTTTCAATGTCTTGGAGAAATGTATAAAATTGATAAATAGAAACTTTTAAAGTCGGCATAATACAGAAGTTTTGTGACTTGATTTTGTCCATCAGAACCTGATTGGATGGTTGTGGTTTCCTATTGGTTGATCTCATGTGAGTGACAGGTTGTCCCACCCTCACTCCAGTTAACGCACCATCAGATATTCATGAAGGCACATGAATTAAGGAAATAATAATAAAGTGTACTGACAAATAATATAAAATAAATACTGTAAAATTCCATTAACCCCCCCCCCCCCCCCAGAGAGTTCCAGCCAAAATAAAAGTGCTATGGTTTAAATTTTAGTTTAAAATTTTTTTAGTTTAAAATGTGAAATTATTTTTTGAATTTGGAGCTTTTTAGACTAAGAAAAGATAGAAAATGTGTTTTTGGCTTATGTGGACGAAAGACAACAACTCCCAGAATGCACTTGCTTCACTGCCCTAGGAGGCCACGCCTACAGAGCACAGTAGTTAAACAACAAGTCTAGGCTGCTAGTGAGTCTGCCCCAAAAATTAGTTTCGAGATCGCCCAAAAATGCCCGGGATTGGGCTTTTGCGTTCTACAGTCGCCATTCATCATGTTTACTGTGGCGAGCGGGACGAGTGAGTGCCGCGGGAGGAGTGTCCCTTTTAATGTTTGAATGCGCAGAAATTAAGCTATTTTTGAAGACAAAGATTTGTAATTTCATTATTGTTCTGTAAATACAATTTTATTATTATTAAATATGTAACAAAAATAGCTTATTTTATATTACAACAGTGGTATGGCAATAGTTTTACATTTCTTAGTTAATTTGATACATTTTTATCATTTAAATAATAAAATATAATATTTTGAATAATAAAAGTAGTAATAGTAATTATTATTGTTGTATCAGGTTTTCCTTCTATTTTGTCATGATCGCATGCTTGTTTTCAGGTACGGTGGACTTCAAGCCAGGCCACTGGGTTGGTGTGAAATATGATGAGCCGCTTGGGAAGCATGACGGCAGGTTGGTGCTCGCTCAAGTTATTTATATTCATGAGAAGACCAGCATGTTTTAAAAAAGGTCTAAAATGTGACCCTTACTTTAACCTTATAAGAAGGTCTAACTGATGCTTCCTGTTTGTCCTGATTTAGTGTGAACGGGAAACGTTATTTTGAATGTGAACCAAAATACGGCGCCTTCGTGAAGCCCCTCTCAGTAACGGTGGGAGACTTCCCTGAAGAGGACTATGGTTTAGATGAGATGTAAGACTCACTCGATGAGCATCTGAAGGAAGATCCTCTTTCTTCAAGTCGCTTGACTCCATGCAGCGAGACATTTCTGCGGTAGAGGGTTTTCTGTCGTCAATGCAGATCATTTTGTTTTAGGCTGGTCTGGAAGAGATCAGTGGAAATTCTACTTTAATTTTCTGCAGGCAAACACAAGAAAATGATCTAAAATGCATCTGTGCCCTGGCGACTGGAAGTAGTAAGGCAAAAGTGAGAACATCAGTCGAGATCAGAGTAAAAAAAAAAATAAAGCATTCACTTGCATGTGGATTGTTCATTATTGAATTCCAAAGTTCTGCAGCTAATTTGAGCCCAGGCTGAATCATTTTACTTCAAACGAAACCAACCAACCACAACAGAAAATGTTCTTCATGTTTTTTTGCAGTCATTCCTCCTTTTTCTGCAGCCTACTACATTCTTATACGTCAACATGACTGTGTTTAGGGTCTCAGTCCCTCATTCTCTTAGGCACTTTAGCGATTAGCTCACAGATGTATTGTATAATATAGAATCCTGTGGCCTCCGTTTTCCATGGTTCTGTATTTTCAGTGTAAATTACTGAGATGTGATGAATTCTTGCCTTTTTTTGTGAAAATTGGCATGTAGGCTTTTTGATGCATGTCAAATTCACATTTAACAGAAAAGCCTTGTTTTTATGGAATTCTGTGTTTAGCTAAATCTGTGTTTCAAATAAATCAATACCAGTTTTGAACAACCTGCAAACATGCTCAAATTGTCTTTCTTCTGGAACATGGGATACGTCGGTTGTACTGAAAAACACTGGTGTCGTACAGCCCTAAAATCTTGATGGTGTGTGATAATTAACATGTTTGGTTTTGGTCATCATGCAGTGATTGGTTTTACGTGAATGCCACTTCTTTAACAAATCAATGTAGAGTAAAAAGTAGAAAAGCTGGACATTAGACTAGGCACAAACATTGATTGTTGGAGATACACATGCTAGAAAAGTGCCGGTATCTCTCCCTCATGTTTTTGTCTTGATTTCCAAATATTTTAAAGGAGTAGTTCACTTTTAAAAAAACTTTTGCTGATAATTTACTCACCCCCATGTCATCCAAGATATCCACGTCTTTCTTCAGTCGAAAAGAAATTAAGGTTTTGATGAAAACATTCCAGGATTTTCTCCATATAATGGACTTCAATGGGAACCAAACGGTTCAAGGTCCAAATGAGTTTCAGTGCAGCTTCAAACGACACCAGACGATGAATAAGGGTCTTATCTAGGACCCTTTAAGTCATGACTCGAAAAAAGATTTGTTCATTTTGATGAACGAGTTCGAACAGGAGAGTCACGAACGCGCATCACAGAACAGAGCAAGGCGAGCATTTGTGCTTATAAAACTTAAACTTTTTTATTTATTTTTTAAACGATCGATTTTTTTCGCTAGATAAGACCCTTATTCATCACCTGGTGTCATTTAAAGCTCTTTGAAGCTGCACTGAAACTCTCATTCGGACCTTGAACCTTTTGGTTTCCATTGAAGTCCATTATATGGAGAAAATCCTGGAATGTTTTCATCAAAAACCTTAATTTCTTTTTGACTGAAGAAAGAATGACATGGATATCTTGGATGACATGAGGGTGAGTAAATTATCAGCAAAGTTTTTTTTTTTTTTTTAAAGTGAACTACTCCTTTAAAGGGTTAGTTTGGTATTTTACACTTAAAGCCCTGTTTTAAGATCGTTTCTGATTAAATCGAATGGTTAAGATTGAAATTTGGACAAATGATGCTGTCCCGAGAATTTTAGGTTTCTGTGTTGCAGGCTGTTTTAGAGCACAGCACACACACACACACACACACACACACACACACACACACGTGTAGACCAAACCTCTCCAGATAAGACCTACCTAGTTGATAGTTTCAGTCGCTGTTGCTGTCAGCATCAAGCTGTGCTGGTGTTTACTAAAACTGGATATTAAAGCCTAAATTAAGTTAAGGTTTATATATAACGCGTTTCTCTGAAAGACACCGGAAGCAGTCTGATAGTCGTTGACGAGAAGCGAGATAGGAGAACTTATTTAGTTTATTTATGACTCGTTTGGTGTGAGACTGCAGGACTTTAGTTTATTGGCAAAGAAAATGAACCGCTGTTTGTGTCTAATCCTCATTAAATCCTGTCTGGTTTTGTCGTTGGGTAAGTTTCTCTATTGTTTATTTTGTTTATAAGAACTTGCATAAGAACTCTGTGGAAACAGCGATATATAACGGATATTGCGAGAGCTTTTCATTTTGTACACGTGTAACTTAGAGAACATTTTGATTCCGTCTCAAAAACTGAGAGAGCTGCCTACGAGAGACAGGCTCCCGTCCCGTCCCGAATATGTCTTTTTAGTGGTAATCGCAAAGAACGTCACTAATATACCAAACGTTACTGCTCCTTTCTTTTATTATCTAAACCAAAGTCCGAAAGCCTTAAGAATTGACAATTCTTATTTTTTATGGAATATTGTAGCAGTAGGTTATTTATTATAAATGATTCACCCGTGCACATTTAAAAAAATCATTTAAATCAAATCATTAATCAAAATGTACGGAGCCCCGAAGGGGACATGGCACGCAAAAACTTTTTTTTTTTTTTTTTTTTTTTGGTGTATAAATGGCACGATAAACTAAATTCGTGGTATAATACTATGTATAATACACGCTTTCTGAGATCGGGCTGGTAAGACAGACTGATAGAGAGAGATGCATATTTTGTGCTGACATCAAACTTGGAGAGGAGAGAAGTCCTGCTGTTCGCGCAATTCACTCACACTGTGTTTGTTTTTCTCTCAGTCTCTCTTTTTGTGACCAGTATCATCGATGTTGTAAAGTTTGATCGACGCGCTTTGACACCATGTTTGACACGAGGGGAAGGCGGGGCCTTGAGTAATTTGCGTGGCCCTATGCAGCTTCCGTAGTGTGCGAATTGGGAGGATCGGCTCTGCAACTTGCACTAAGATAAAATCATAAAATATGTCAGTGCTGTGTTTTATCTGAAGAAGATGCACACCAGTAATGTATTTTTTTCCCAAGGCATGTTTATGAAAGCAACTTAAATATCCTAAGATAAGGCCTGACCCTGTCTCAATAGTATGGAGGGCCCCTGGCTGAGGACTGCTGGTCTACGGCTCACTATGGAAAATCAACAACTGACTATTATATTCTCAAAAAAGTACACCATATGAATCTCTTAAATCACAAGTTTTCTATGAAAACAAAGATTGCAACATTCACAAAGTTGTGGATCAGATGTGTGCAATTGCAGCAACATCTTACACAACAGAAAGTACTCTAGGCTACAAGTGGCTTTTATTGTAATACGTACCAATAAAATGCTTTTCTGCTGATCTGTATGTTGATCGCCATTACATTTCCCACTTGCAGTCATGAGAACTGTCCAGACTCATCCAGATGAAGGAGAGACCGTGACTGGATCAGACATGTCCAAAACAACATTAGCCCCTAAAGCTAAAGCTGAACTCATCTCCTCAACTAACCCGTCTCTGAACACTGAGCTCATCACAACACAGAGCAAACCCCTGATTCCTGCATCTACTGGTACTGTCTGATTTCCTACATTGATTTGTTGCACTACTGTTTCATCAAATCACATTAACAAATTATATTTACCAGGCGTTCCTCCTGGTATCCCAACTGCAGGTTTTCGGTTCCATGCGGGTAGTTTTGTTGGCGGTATGGCGCTGGCCGTTATCATCACACTGGCTGTGGCTCTGGGCTACAGGTTGGCCTGTTCTCAACGGGAGGTGCGCTACAGAGCCATGTGAGTATCATCAGAGGAGGTCTGGACTGGCTGCAGTAACGCGTCTCTGTACATGCGGGGGCGCTCACGGTCGAGTGCAGAATGAATGGAAGTCAATGGGATTTCACCCCCAGAAATCCACTTTTCTCAGGATGTAATTTTTTGTCAAGTAATTTTAAAGTTGCATTCAAAAGGGAGGGCTAAGATAATACACTCAGCTGAAAATTGTATTTTTAAGTTCACTTATCTGTTCTAAAAATCCGTTCAAAACTGTGATGACGTCACACAATAGCAGAATGCTAGCGTGTTCCGGCCAACAATGGCCTAACCTGTAAGAAATCAAAAGGATATAAGTACTCGTTCATTCGACTTTTGACCTATAATCTATATTGAACTTGCGGAATCAACAATAAAATCTATGTTGATTTAACGAATAGCAGGTGAAAGAGACACATTTAGCCGTTTAGCCCCATAGACTCCCATTCATTCTGCACTCGCCCGCGATCACCTCCAGTGGAATTCTAATGGAACTGCAACCAAGATGATACACAATAAGGCTAATAGGAAGTGCCAAGGCTCTCCGTTAGACGGGCTCTGGTATCACCAGAGCGCTCTCTTTAGGTGTGTTTGACTTTAAAGGGATAGTTCACTTTGAAATTAATTTTTGGTATGTTTTAGCTTACCTCTAGGGCATCCAAGATGTAAGTGTCTTTATTTCCAAAGTTGTTTCAATTTTGATATTTTTAGGTCCAACCGTTCTTGTATGTCAGTCATATAATGCAGGTCTATGGTCACCACCTCAAAGAGCATGCACAGAGAAGTCTAAATTAAAGCAGCGCTATGCAGTTTTTTTTTGTTTTTTTTTTTACCTTAACTGAATAGCTTCGGAGTTATTGCAATGGTTATATGACTAATTTCGGGTTGAATGTTGCTGGCCGCTGCATCATGATATCAGGTCTCACAATGTAACGAAATGCTTTACGGCAAGAAAGATCTGATAAAATGACCAAAAATATATAAACTCCACTTTAATTGGCATTTAAAGAGTATGTTGAACTTTATTTTTTTTATAAACGCGCTGTTTTACGCAGTACTTAAAGTATTGAATGGAAAGGGTTTCTGTTGAAAACGCCTGAAATGTCTGTATTCAGTGTCATATCTGACGCACAAACAGCGCGAGCCGAAGTCGAACACACTTAATGTTTTATGCAATGCTGTTGCATTTACATAATTGCTTGTTTAAAAAAAAAACAAAAAAACAAGGATATCCAGATATGATGTGATGCGTTTGTGAACCATGTACATTTTTCCTCTCATATTACAACACAAGCCATGTTTTATATAAACATATGCAATAATATAACCTTGCTGATATATATTTCATGTCTTTCAGTGAAGAACATGATGCCATCATTTAAAATGGAGCCACTGAGGAAATACAGACCAAAGCACATGTTAGTCATGATCTGAAGAGAAAGTTTTCACATTACCATGATTAACATGTACTTGAAACAGTGTATAATTAGTTTGATATCTGAAACGGGTGTGAATATTTGAACTCAATTGTGTTTTCAGTGATTTTTCTTTCTAGTCTAATCTAGTATTTGTACCTAAAGGGATAGTTAACTTTGAAATTAATTTTTGGTATGTTTTATCTTACCTCAAGGGCATCCAAGATGTAGGTGTCTTTGTTTCCACAGTAGTTTCAATTTTGATATTTTTAGGTCAAACCGTTCAAACCGTCCGTCCAAGTGATCCGAGGGCGCGGGCGCTTTGTGGCTGTGGTTACAAGAGGTAAAAACAATATAAATACTGTTCGTTTTCTCACACAAACCTTACATTTCGTGTCTTAGGCCACCAATGTGTACTTACATTTACGAGTCATTAAATCATGTTTAACGTTGACTTCTCTGTGCATGCTCTTTGAGGTGGTGACCATAGACCTCCATTATATGACTGACAGACAAGAACGGTTTGACCTAAAAATATCAAAATAGAAAATACTGTGGAAACAAAGACACCTACATCTTGGATGCCCTTGAGGTAAGATAAAACATGCCAAAAATTAATTTCAAAGTGAACTATCCCTTTAAACTAGACTATTTTTACTAGTGTGTTTGAACCTGTAAAATGCTTTTTTAAAGAGATATGGGACACATCATTTTGACACTTTTGGTTAGTGTTTAGGGTAAAATGTTTAGGTTTATGGTATTTTTGGTATAAAAGTGTTGTGTGTGTGTGTGTGTGCATTTTTAAATGTGTTGATACAGAGTAGATAATATTATCCAATAAAGGGATTTAGTCTAATGCTGCATGTTGTACAATTTCCTCACACACAATTTACAATGAATGTCTAATAATATTATATGCTCATAATGCGATTAAAGACAGTATCTACCAAAGTATATACTTTATTCCAGGCCAATTTTAAAGTAATATGTAGAGATATAATGTAACAGAACTTAAGGTTCTAAGGTACATGCACATACATTGATTTAAAAAAACAAAAAAAAACAAAAAAAAAAAAAAAAAAACATTAGATCATAATAAATGGATATAAATTCATTCTGGGTGCATTTAAAGAAATCTAAATACCAATCCATTAACTTGTGTGATTAGTACTACCACTACAAAACAAAAAAAGTAAACAGTTACTATATATTCTGAACAGTTGCACACTAAGCAAGCATAAAATCATGTTTAAGTGACATACACATTTTAGTCAATGCTCTATAAACGTGCAATACCATAACTGTACCCACAATTCATAAAACATTTTGTTGCATTGCTCTCTCCAACACTGTTTTACCCCACTAGAGTCTGCCATCAATACTATGTTTGCAAAAATAGATTTTTCTCTTTTTCTCACCTCTAACATTCATAACTATGGCCTAGCTTGCTGTTTTTGATCATAAAATTTGACCATAAAAATGTTTGCTTACCGAGGCACTTGAGTTTACCATAGCGGTGTCACCCAAACAGACCACGGAATATCATACTCATAAAATGTCACCAAAAAAACCCAGTACAAAACGCATTTAATGTACGGGCCAGTTATTGAGCTATAGTCATGTAGTGTAAAAATAACCATATTGTAAACAAGAGGAGTATATTACTGAATGCAAAGAATCCGCAATAAATTTCCTGTAGTGTTTTTCTATAGTGAAATAATGTAAACCAAGGTAACCTGCCTAATAATGCGTCATAACAGGGCCCGTCAAATCTCGCTTCGTTCCAAATCTCCTCACTAATCAATTAGACCTTTTCTCATTAGCTTATGTTTAACGTGTACATAAAAGCATGATAGATTTTGTTTTGTCATCCATTAAGAGAAAAAGAAAGTCTTTGGAAGCCTCGTGGAAGAAATCCTGACAGAAAACGATAACTGATTGATTCCAAGTCTACTCTATCATTCATATCCACAGTTACCAAGTCAAATCCAAGCTAATCTACAGCACTAACCATCAAGACATGCTCATCTAGCCATCTAAACTTATCAGAACCTTCCACTTACCGCCGACATCCGTCTCAGCGTCAACATAACTGGCACAGACTCTACTGGAGCTCATATCAGAGATGTCTGTCTATCGATCAAAGTGCCCTTGATATTTTCTCCCTTGCGTTTGGATGAGATATTTTCACTAAAACAAACAAGCAAGCAGGAACATATCAACTGAGATACTAAAATCGTAAGATAAAAAGAGATATCGATAACAAAACAAAACGATTGATTACGTTGATCTAGTCAAGTCTTATCTGTCAATCTGTTGTATATCTATTAAAACGAGAGCTTGATCACAAATGAATGCCATAACCGTCAAGAAACAAAATCAGGCTTAAATAAAACTAACACACAAAGAGGCTAGGGTACTTTAAGGAAAGACACAAAAAAACCCCGAAAAGTTCAACCCTAAATCCCAACATAATATTTTTTTTCTTATAAAACCTTTGAAAGTAATATACTTTGATTAATGAAGCGAGTAAGTAAATGAAAACGATGATCTCTAGTGTAAAAAGGACAGGATTTGTTTTGTCTGAAGGCACTTGATTACACAGTTTCTAGAGTGATATTTGCTGGCACAGCCAAGCAGCAGGATTCGTTTAACCAAAGCCACACGTTGAAACCTTTCAATCCCGATCCCATCAAGAAAAAAAGAAAGAAAGAAAAAAAAAAAAAAACACGTACAGACGACCTCCTCGTCGCTTTTTGGTTTCTCAGGCTCAAAAAAGAAAACAGTCAATTGTAGCTGAGCTGAGATCAGGCATGTTTCGAGTCACAGAGGTTGTTTTATCGCTCACTCTCGAGGAACACTTGAGCCCATCGGCCCTGTTCGCCCAGCGACGAGTTCATGAGGGGAAACACAAATTCACATACTCGCACGCTGATCGTACAGTACAGCCGTGGAAGAGAATCGGGTACGTGTGAATACTTGTCTGTTCATGGGCCAGCCTTGAGGATGCAGACATGAAAAAAAAAAAAAAGACACGAAGCACAAAAGGACCAACGGTTAAAATACCTCAGCTTTTAAAACCAATTCGGCCGAACGTAGTGAATGGAAGATAGGAAGAGAAAAACCGTCCAAAGAGGGTGAAATGTCTCGTCTTTTCTCAACTCAAAGCATCTACGCATCCTTCACAGATTGGATTAGGCAGCAGTTCAGCATGTTGGAAGAGAAGGCGTAGTATTCATGCGCTCTTATAGCCAGGTTAGAAAGTTCTCCTTGTCGATCTTGGTCGCTGCCAGCACAGACTCCATGTCATTGAGTATGTCGGAGCTCAAGGCCTCCTGCAGACTGGGCATCAGCTCCTCGCCCTCCACCGCCATGCTCTCCCCCTCCAGGGTGCCCAGGTCCACGTCTGTGCCCGGGATGGCGTCTAGGTAGTCGGGAAAACGGCTGGGCTGTGTCGCCATGGAGCTGGGGCCGAGGGTGTCGCCTGGGAGCGAGACATTGGACTTAAAACTCTACTGATATCACGTGTGTGGTTTGATTGTGATTATTGTCCTTGTGATGTACCTGTCTCCATCTCGTCCACACTGTTGAGGAAGTCGTCCGGAGTGCGAGGGACGCTGTAACTGCTCATGCTCAGGCCGCTGTCTGTGCTCTCGTCCCGGGAGTGATACGTCCCACTGCACAGGAAAACACCATTAATGACAGCACACACACACTTGAATATAAACCATGTACATATGTAAATTGTACAGTTACACTACTGTTCTAAAGATTTTTTTACGGTGTCCTTGTTGCACGTTACTGGAGTAATAACTGAATAATATGAAGTCAGAATTGCGAGATATAAAGTTACAATTTCGAGATATAAAGTCGCGATTCGGAGAAACAAGAAGTCGCAATTGTGAGATATAGAGTCGCAATTCAAAGAAATAAAGTCGCAATTCTGAGAAATAAAGTTGTAATTCTAAGAAATAAGAAGTCGCAATTGCGAGATATACAGTCGCAATTCAAAGAAATAAAGTCGCAATAGCGAGATATAAAGTCGCAATTCGGAGAAATAAAATCGCAATTGCGAGATATAAAGTCGCAATTCTGAGAAATAAAGTCGCAATAGCGAGATATAAAGTCACAATTCGGAGAAATAAAGTCGCAATTGCGAGATATAAAGTCGCAATTCGGAGAAATAAAGTCGCAATAGCGAGATATAAAGTCGCAATACGGAGAAATAAAGTCGCAATAGCGAGATATAAAGTCGCAATTCTGAGAAATAAAGTCGCAATTCGAGAAATAAAGTCGCAATTCGGAGAAATAAAGTCGCAATTGCGAGAAATAAAGTCGCAATTCTGAGAAATAAAGTCGCGAATAGCGAGATACAAAAAGTCACAATTCGGAGAAATAAAGTCGAAATTGCGAGATATAAAGTCGCAATTCTGAGAAATAAAGTCGCAATTCTGAGATATAAAGTCGCAATTGCGAGATATAAAGTCGCAATACAAAAAATAAAGTCGCAATTCTGAGAAATAAAGTCGCAATTGCGAGAAATAAAGTCGCAATTCTGGGAAATAAAGTCGCAATTGCGAGATATAAAGTCGCAATTCAGAGAAATAAAGTTATCAGGCCAATTCTAAGGGAAAAAATACTAACTTTTCCCCCCCTCAGAATAGTTTATACATCACAATTCTGACTTTACAACACACAATTGCGACTTTATATCAATCAATTCTGACTTTATCTTTCTCAATTCTGACTTAATATCTCCCAATTCTGACTTCATATCTCCCAATTCTGAGAAGTAAAGTCAGAATTGTGACATGTAAACTCGCAATTGAGAGAAAAAAAAAATCTGAATTGACATAAAAAGTCGCAATTACCTTTTTTATTTTTCATTCTGTGGCGGAAACAAGCTTCCACAGAAAGTGAAAGTTTGTTGAATCTCAGTACACAGAGAATCGCAATATTATTGAGAGAATGAGAGTGTGCAGAGCAGGTGGAGACTTTGCATTAGCCAAAACACAAGAAAGTTGAATCTATTTGAATCCAAGTTTTGAAGCCTATTGTGTAAATTATGTACAACCGCAGCCTATATACAGTACCACAACATAAAAATCCCTCATTAACAAAGCTTCGGTAGCCATTGCCTCTTAACCTCTGTACAATTATCCAGATTAACAGCTAATAATGACTGCTCATTCTGCTGCAAGAGTCTCTGCTTGTATTCCTCACAGCGGCCCGCTTTGAACTGCCTTTGAGAGTCATTGTAAAAGGTGTTGTTTTGCTGGTGGTCTGAGAAAAGCTCTCTATAAATAGCAGGCGGGCAGTTCAGCACAAATAAAGAGGGCAGAGGACATGCTACAGTGAAGGGAAATACAGCAAGTTTCTCCTAATTAAGAGAATGAAATGTGGCTTCAGTGCATGAGAGTCGCTGGATGAATGAGCTCTTTGTGAGCGCAGCCGAGGCGGTGGGAGGGAGGGGGGGGGTGGCCTTGTCCAAGACCGAGACCACATGTTCTCACGGCCGCCTTGCTATTCTCATTAATCCCTTATCTGCTCTCATGTAGGAGGAGAGATTGATGTGCTTGTCTGCCACTGGAGGGCGCAATTCTCTGCAAAAACAGCGTAATATCGACTGCTTTCAACCGCTTCACCATCAGGGGTCACCAATGAGTGTCATTCCAGATAAAATAAAAAAATACACATCTTTTGGGATTTATGTGCCATGTGCAAACTCAAGGTGAGTTTCTCTTTGCATTCATGTGTTGTGCATGCATGAGTTCGAAGTGACTTACCTGTTCAAGAAAGGGTCAGAGCTGTTGGTGGTCATGTTACGGGCGTCTTGGCCCATGCCGGGCGAGGACACCGGGTTTTGAGTGCCGCCATCCTGCTCCATGCTGGTTGGAAGCTGGTTTCTCAGGGCGAGCTCCTGTACGCACGCACAGACAAAAGAAATACGTGTCAAAGGGCGAAATTCACAAAGTGAGCAGACTGGGTTTGCAGGAACGGGAAGACGAAATTGACGATTTTCTTTGCAATAGTAGAGAAAGGAAAGAACAAACTATTCTGGTTTTGCTTTTAAACCACACACAAAACATTGAGAAACTTAACCTACAAGTTTCACTTAGTTTCCTGTATTGTGTTAAATAAAAGCCTTTCCCATCCAACAAGTCATGAGTTACAAATCTGGTTATCATTTGTCAATGGATTGTGCAAGATTGTCTGTCAACGTTTTTTTTTTTTTACGGGTGGTTTGCAGAGTCTCACGCGAAGGTGTGGGTTTTATAGCACACCATTTAGGCTCAGATCTTTGTTTTTTATTACGGACTTCCTATGACTAATTGAAAGTGAAATATTTGCACAACTTTTGCTGATTAAAAGATAACTCAACAGGCCGTCACAGCATGACATCCACACTGACCCTTCTGACTCGTTACATTATTTAAAAGAAATGTCTTTCTTCTTGGACTGACATTATTATAGTTGTGTGCTGCCAGAGTTAATGCGTTAAAGGGATAGTTCACTTTGAAATTAATTTTTGGTATGTTCTAGCTTACCTCAAGGGCATCCAAGATGTAGGTGTCTTTGTTTCCGCAGTAGTTTTAATTTTGATATTTTTAGGTCAAACCGTTCTTGTCTGTCAGTCATATAATGGAGGTCTATGGTCACCACCTCAAAGAGCATGCACAGAGAAGTCCAGATTAAACATGATTTAATGACTCGTAAATGTAAGTACACATTGATGGCCTAAGACACGAAACGAGCGGTTTGTGTGAGAAAATGAACAGTATTTATATCATTTTTACCTCTTGTAACCACAGCCACGTCCAAGTGATCTGAGGGGGCGAGTGCTTAAATATATAAAACTATATAAATACTGTTTGTTTTCTCACACAAACTGCTCGTTTCGTGTCTCAGGCCATCAATGTGTACTTACAATTACGAGTCATTAAATCATGTTCAATTTGGACTTCTCTGTGCATGCTCTTTGAGGTGGTGACCATAGACATGCATTATATGAGTGCTATACTTTAAATAGCGGTTTTTAAAATCAGGGCAGGAGGGTTATGAAATGTGAATCAATTACAGTACAGTGCATTCTGTATAATTTGAGTATAATTCAAGTTTTAAAATCATGCAAATGTATTTCAGTTTAGCTCCAGTTATGATCAGTGTGAATATTTTATCTTGTTTAATATTAAATGTGTTATAAATTAGAGGCAGGACGGACTTAGAAACCGATTTTACGTTTTCTTTGATTTCAATAACGTGCAATATCATGGGTGAGCGATTCATTATAGGATTTCCAGCAATAACATCAATGTCTTTAAGTGTTTTCGAAGGCCTATCTTTATTAGTCTTTAAAGTGAGCTGCTTCCAGCCTGTAAGATCATCCCTGAAGATCTGTTTATTTAGTTTTCCAGCAGGGGGGTCTTGCAGAACTGAGTCAACACCGTGTTTACATTCCAAAGCAGGGGCAGCTGAGCAAAACCTCCTCCTCTCCAAACTCTCATTTACTCGCTCTACTCGCTCCATCTATACAGCGATTTCAGATTTACCCACCCTACACTATATGCAAAGAAACAAAGTGTGATGTACGTTTATCAGATGCATAAGTTGCAAAGTGGACCAGATCGTACTCCAATAGTCAAGGTCTGCCAAAACAACCAGCATAAGATTAAACGTCACGCTACGTTACAAACAAAAATACACAGTACAGGGCAGCCGAACGCTGTGTGCCCGACCGTCTATCATGCGAGGACAGAATGTTCCGACAGGTGTGTGTCTGACCTGGGGTCTCTGGCGAAGGAGCTCTTGTTTGATCCTCAGTCTCTCTTTCTCCATCTGGATCTGTTGCAGTCTGATCTGGTTGTTGCCACCCATTACTCCACTCTGCGGGCTGGAGGGCAACTGGGAGCCTTGCTTCACTGGAGCACTCTGGGAAATTCGCTGCTGGTTCATAGCTGAGGACACAAAATCAATTATTTTAAGAGGCTTTGTTTGGTCTGTTATTGGCAATTAAAAACAAAGGATTAAAGGGATAGCTCACTCAAAAATGAAAATTAATTCATCATTTACTCAGCCTGGTGTTGCTCTATTGGCGTATGCCCTTCTGTCTATTTAGGAGCACAAAACAAACAAACAAACAAAAAAAAAAAAAAAAAACACGAGTATCACAGATTGGTCCCAAGTGTCGTATAGTCCAAGTGTTCTGGGGGTTTACCATAGGGTTTGGTGGAAAACAAACTGAAATTTATTTAACAAAAATCCTGACCTTGGCTGTTAGTCATTTAGTTGAGTAAATGATGACTTAATTTTCCACTAGAAAATATACACAACATAAATAATATTGGCATTATAGTGTTATTATATTGTGTATATAAGCACTGCTGAAATTACATTTTGACAAATTAGCATCCAGGACTTTCATTATACACTTATGAAGGGCCAAACAGGAAATAATTACATGCAATCTGACTATAACTCTTTTTTTTTTAAATTCAATTTATAAATGTAAATCTGAATATTTATCTATAAATCTGAATATGCAGTTATGAGTCTAGTGAATAATTTATCATTTTCAGACTAATGGCCATATATTCAGATTAATAGATCTAATTACAATCTATATAATTACAACTTAGATTTATATTAGGGCTGTCAAACGATTAATTGCGATGAATCACAACCAAAATAAAAGTTTGTTTACATAATTTGTGTGGGTGCACTGTGTATATATATATATATATATATATATATATATATATATATAATACACACACATGATTGTATATATTTAAGAAATATCTTCATGTAAATACTGTATATAGATTTATATATAATTTATATTAATATATAATTTATATTAAATAATATTTTTTTTCTTAAATATACATGCATGTGTGTGTATTTATATATATATACAAAATAATTATACACAGTGCACCCACAAATATTATGTAAACACAAACTTTTATTTTGGATGCGATTAATCGCGATTGATCGTTTGACAGCCCTAATTTATATATATTGAGATTTGTATCGGTATATTCAGTCTTGCATATATACAATGCAGATTTGGATCTATAAATGTATACATATAACTAAATATTTGAATTTATAGTCATTACATAGTTTTATCTGCATTATATAATTGATATTGTCATTATTTAGTCATAAAAAGATATATTCTGATTTATAAATAATCCCGATTTTATATAAAAATTTCCTGTTTGACCATTCATATACATTGTATAATGAGACAAAAAAAAAAGTCCCATCAATGTAAGTGAATGGAGAAATGCGTATCGCCACAGACGCAAACACAGAAACAAATGTTTTAGACCATAGGAGGTGGGGTGTTACAGTAATTGGACCAATGAAAATGGCTGTTTACTTATGCACTGGGGCCACCAGTGACAACAAAGCCGTGATGGTGCTGGCGTTGTTATGCGCGAGGGAGCCCCGTCTTCCCCGCTTATCCTCATCGCCATTCAATCACAGTGTGTTTACACTACCTCAGGCCTGAATGAGTCTCCACTCTCCTCTCACCATGGGAATCAGATCAGAGACTCACCACGCCTCACACACACACCACAACCACCATCCCCCACACTGCCCTAGGCGTGGAAGAGTGTGTGGGAATGTGTATGAATGCTAGTGGGGGAGTGTGTATCTGTGTGTGTGTGTGTTTGTTTCTCTTTTAAGACTCTTATCTCGCATAGATAGGGGTCTATTGAAGCCGAAATGACGGTTCTGGTGGAGAAGTAATGGCTGATCTCAGGGCAGGATTGACCAGGCTGATATGTGGCAGCCATATTTGTTGCACAAAATAAACTCTCGATTCTCAGGTCTGGATTTCCCTGACTAGCCTATACTTGTTTCTGTGGGTATCTCACTTGGGAAACTCCATACCACAGCATGAAGATGACAAGAACACACAAACAAGCTTAATCCATGTGGCCGAATGACTCATAAGTTGCATAAGAACTGCAGGTTTGTGCCACGAATGTGTTCTCCTCTGAACTAACAGGAGGAAACGTGCCAGAGAAACACAAATAAAAAGAGCGAGATGGAGATAAAAGCTCAGATTGACGTAGTTTGCCCGCGTTTTCCACGCTGGCTCTGAAACACGATCATCTAGCAATAAGAGTCATTATCATGCCGTCTCGCAAAGCCGAGCCAATAGCAACTCCCCTGTCCTTTCCAGGTGAGACTGGCAGGGTGTTGGGAAACGTTAGGAAACGCAGCGGCAGGACCTTTGAAGCCTTTGTAAATATTAGCTGGCTGTCGATTTAACAGGTTTGTTGTATAAAAGCCATGCTCAAGTTGCGTTTCGAGTTAAGAGATAAGGAGGAAAAGGAGAGTCAATCTGTGTCCAGAAGAAAAGCCTCTCTATATCCTATCATACACAAACCTCAGCGGGCCACACAAAAGCAAGCTGTGAGCTGCCGGAAGCCAGCGTGAGGAAACTCAGCTGTGACTAGCGTGTAGTAGGAAACCAGTTGAAAGCAAGATGGCAGCCGTATCACTTACAAGTGGAAACAGCAGGTGGTATATTTATACATCAAGACTTTCACAGTTATTATTAGTGATTACTGCAGCGAGAAATGCAAATGTGCTTCCGTTATTCACACTAAGCTATGCAAGTAATGTTTAATGCAAATAATAGAGTCGGACTAAGTCAGCGGCGTATTTCAGGTTCTTGACCTTTTTTACAGACACTGCGCTTTTGCAGATTTCTGATCACGTTTTCATTTGTTCCACTAGATTACACTTGGAATCCCTTTTTTCTCATTTCTTTCACCAGAAAGAACACTTTAGATTACATTGGAGATAAAAGACACGTTCATGCCATGTTGGAATTACAGTAATTATGACATCCCGACTTGTACAAAAAACTTGTATAATTTGATGGCGGCATTGGCAGAGTTAACGGACTTGCCTGGACTTTGCTTGCACATCCCTTATCTGTCTGATTTGGTGGTTTCAATTTCCAATAGCGGAATTTTATGAACTCGTTAGTGCGTCCTCCAGCCTCCCATGCCCAAAGCGCCGGTTCAAATCCCGCTCGGAATGGGGCGAATAGAACCGGAGCGGTTAAATTGGTGCCGTGACCCGGATGGGAGTAAGGTTTAGGGGGTACACTAAGTGTAACGGAGGTCAGCTAGTTATAGCTTTGTGAGTAAACCTCACTCCCCTGATCTAAAGAGGTGCACTGGCTATAGACGCTTGAGACTGCCGGTCCCATTCTGGAAACTAGGGATGCTCCGATGGATCAGTCGTAGATTGGTATCGACCTATAATCACATTCTGTGACTCCATCCAGCATGCACATTCTTGTAGAACGTAACTGAATTTTATTAAAGCTCTGACTTGCACCACCTGACCACTACAACATGATGCGGAAACCTTCAAAATGGCAACGACTTCAGCACTAAAATGATATAATTCCGATAATGAACTATTGCTAATAATGTACGAATATTCTTAAATGAACAAGACACAATAGAATTTATTGAATTGAGCACAGAGTTGAATGTCCTGCTAAATAAACTATGTTTATTAATAAAGCCAAGTTCACACTACAGGATTTTAAGCCCGATTTGTGAATCGTTGACCTCGCCGGCAGGTCAGGGTGTTATCGCGTGCAAATCGTGGGGGATTAGCGGGCGATGAACGTTTTCCAATCTGTTAGTATGAAAGAGCCAACAACGCATCAAAGACGCTTGCACCTTTGAGACCATAAAATCTAGTATGCTAGATATCCAGAGCTGTCGCGCGACTCAACCTCAGTGATGTCATGAGCTCCAGCCAATCAGAGCAAGGCATGGGTTGAGGTCACCGGAGAAATCTTTTTGATTTTTTTTTGCATTTTTTGGGCATGTTGTGTTCTTCTCTTCTTCGCTGGGTATTGACGCACGTGCCGTTTTGCATCATTTCCGGTTCGTCTTATCGCGTGACTTTTCGTGACAAAGAATCGCTGGGTGACAAAGTTGTCGTTAACTAGAGTAGTGCGTTACCTCCTGTTGCGGATCAATCACGTTGTGTTGTCGTGTGGTGTGAACAGCTCAACAACTTGACCACTCCTGATTTCACAGAGAGCAAGTCGTGTCGTGTGAACCGCACAGTTCAGCCCGACGTTTTAAAATCATGTAGTGTGAACAAGGCATAAGGCGTTTTCAAAGCCTTTTTATAATGACTGTAGCTTGTTGTATTTACAAGGGGAACCACCACTCACATTTACTTCAGAAAAATAAAACCTCTCCATGAATGCACTGAGAGACTGTCATCATTGAAGGTGAACCACTGATGGCACTTTCGTCATCCCGTTTCCCAATAAGGCAAGCGCCTTGGGAGTCGTGAAGTGTTTATGCAACCGAGTGTGCGTGTCAGCTCAAAGCTCTGGAAAAGATGAGTGCTTCACAAGAGTGTGACATCACTCTGCACTTGCCAACAAGGTGCCAACTCCTGCACTGAAGGACCATGATAATCTAAGCGGCCCGCAGCACATGACCGATAACCGAAGGCTCCAGTTGGTCTTTGTACTCAAAAATAGTGGTGTTTTTGAGTCCACGGGCCAGATGAGGCGTGAAATACATCATAAAGTCCCACGTTGGCCTCTCAGATCAGATCTCAAGGCCTGTTCACCGCCTCTTAGGAAGGAGGCACAAGTTTATCCAGTGGTCTCCTATTCCTCCCTTTCTTCTCCCTCTCTCAGGGCCTTCCTTCGCCTGCCCCCTTCCTCTTTCTCTCTCTCGCTCTAACATTGGGTCTCTTTGACTGAAAAGGTCTGGAACAGATTAGGAGCAGAGCTGCAGCATCGAGAGGCCTGGCACCGTCTCAAGTCCATCTAGATGTGCAGCTGAGAACAGTTCTGCCTGCGCTGGGCCTCACGCGGGCTGGGAGGGGGGGTTAGACAGAACGAGAGAATGGCCAGACTTGAGTTCTCAGTTAAAGGAGCACAATCCAACTCTACTCCCTGCTCGAATTACCCCAATGGTGAGCCGAGACCCAGACGGGACATGTCAGGTTAGCAACATATTTAATCGTTATTTGAGGTTCAATTAGTGCAAGAAGGAGCCAACGTTCTTCTAACCCAAAGTTGCATTTTTGAAGCCGGTGGAATAAAGTTCGTCCAAACGTCTGCAGTTCAGCAACCTCAACGAGAGTCGTCGAGGGATTAAAACGCAAACACAAAGGTTATAAAAATATGCCGACGCAAGCAGTTACATAAAACCGCACGGGAACGCCCAAACATTCTAAACTTGCGGCAAGGAATGAGTTAACCACGTCTACCCCTCTCGCCGTTCTCCCCCTCACATTACGTCTGTAATTCAGAGGCCCACCAGGCTTGTCCGCTGAACACTTATAAATCTTCAAAGGGCTTCACCCACCAGAGCCGACCCCCCTCCCTTTTTGTCTTTCGCTCTTTCTCTCTCTCTCCTGCCTGACCCTTCACAGGCTTGTTACCACTTTACCCACGACCACTTGCATGTTTGGTGTACGTTTGCACACAAAAAAACTATTTTGTAGATCAAAAATGGGGCAAAAACATGCTTGTTCATACATGAGGGAGATAGTGAGATAGTGTCCCAGGGGAAAACTCCTTTGGGATGAAGCAAAAGCACCTCAAGCGTGAGTAACTCAAAGTGACATAAGTAGAAGCCTTCATCTCTTTGTGAGCCGTACGTGCTCATAGAAAGAGATTAAAGAGAGGGACTGAAAGGGGTAGAAAAAGGACAAACATCTTAGTCTGACAACCTTTCGGTGAACCATTTATCTTGACAGCAAAAACAGATGATTAGATTAATGTGACTATTCCACTGCTTAGATGTGTGTCATCGCCTCCGCGTATATGGATTATGGATGAATATCTGAACTGGGGTTTAGGGAACGGCATAATCAGATGCAGTTTGAACTAGTTTGCGAGTGTGTGTGTGTGTTTGTGTGCGAGTAAAAGGGATCACATAGCAGACTCTTGAGTGTGGAGCAGTTTTGGCTAACCTCAGTATGAGTCACAGGAAGCAGGAATACTCTGTGAATAGTGTGCCACAAAAACACATACACACTCTCACTCACTTTCATACACACACATTGCCAGAGAGCAGTCATCTACACTATAAGCATAATAATAAAGCAATAAACAACAGTTGAAGTGATTTTACCATGGTGGAAGTGTGTTCTCAGGACTTTGAGCGCTTAACACCCCTAAACCACTGCAATGATTGACCTCAGGTGTAGTGATGGATGATTCTCTTTTTACAGAAATACCGAAACCGAAATTAAAGTTGTCATTGAACCGAAAACCGAAACTAAAAGGAATGTTTCAGTAATTAACTTTATTAATTAACTTTAGATGCTGCTCAGGGTGTTTTGTTTACAGGTGATAAAACTGTAATAGTAAAGCTCTTAATAAATATTTTATCTGAACAAATTTTACATTTTGCTATCCTAGTTTTCATTTTTGGCTACGTGCATCTCACATCTCTCACGTGTTTATCTGTTGTAGCTTATCTAAGTTGTTTGCACAACATGTCATTGAGGACGTGCTAACTGTTTTGAATGATTTCGGCCCTGCAAAACCATTTAGTCAAAACTTTTTTGGTCGAAACTTCTATGCATCACTACTCAGGTGGCTTATTGTTTTATAAAATGGCGACAAGAGCAGCATGATAAGAGACCAATGTTCAATCAAAAGTACAATTAATAATTTTGATTATTATAAACTTTTAGGATTTAAAGCTCACCGTAACGCGGGTCGAGTCGTGGGTCCAGCCAAGAGGTGGTTTTGTTTTTGTGATTGATGTAGTAGATCTCTCCTTCTGAGGTAATAGCTTGCTCCCAGCCTTCAGGAAGAGGTCCTGAGAGAGAACAGTCAGGGTACAGTGAATTATCCAGTACTAACTGAAATTTTTATGTTAGTAATTTGTTTGGCCACAATCCACATTTTTCATTCCACATTTCCCCCACTGTTAACGTTCTCCATCCAAGTTAATAGTACATGAGATACTGACTAGATACTGTAGAAAATATGATGGCGGCATTGCCAAGATGGCTGCTGAGTTCACTGACTTGCCTGGACTTTGCTCGCACATCCCTTATCTGTCTGATTTGGTGGTTTCAATTTCCAATAGCAGAATTTTATGAACTCGTTAGTGCGTCCGCCAGCCTCCCATGCCCAAAGCGCCGGTTCAAATCCCGCTCGGAATGGGGCGAGTAGAACCGGAGGGGTTAAATTGGTGCCGTGACCCGGATGGGAGTAAGGTTTAGGGGGTACACTAAGTGTAACGGAGGTCAGCTAGTTATAGCTTTGTGAGTAAACCTCACTCCCCTGATCTAAAGAGGTGCACTGGCTATAGACGCAGGAGACGGCCGGTCCCATTCCGGAAACTAGGGATGCTCCGATGGATCGGTCGTAGATTGGAATCGGCCTATAATCAAATTCTGTGACTCCATCGGTAGTCGTTAAACTTGGCTGATCTCACGAACCGATCCCAATTTAATGACGTTAAACACGTGATGATGTCAAACTTAAGCGCCGCAGTCACCCGTCATGTTCTAAAGAAATATCATAGGAAGGAACATAGTCTAAATAATACAACGAACCTGATTCGCTGCCTCCGTCATCTGCTCTCTGTGTTTAAGAGGCTGGGGCTCAAGCAGCTCCTCCACTCACTCACACACATACACACACACAGAGCAGACAGCGATCGAGAAACTGAGCATGTGATTACCTGAATCTGTCCTTCTTCAGATCAAGCCATATATTCGTGAAAAAATCAGTTTGCCATCAGTTGCCAGAAGATGAAAGCGATATCTTTGTTGTAGTATGATTTCAATACTTTCCCATGCTGTTCAATGCATTGAATCAATGCCATGGATATCTATGAAGTGAAACATCAGCTTCAGCGTTACCCAGGTGATGCGTTGCTCGTCAATTGAGCCTTAATCGGTTTAGCAATGACTCGCTCATAAAAGACAGTCCCTTTCCTGCTGGCATAACAATGTAACTGCACTGACTGAAATGCTTAAGCCAATTGGATGAGCGCTGTTTTTAAAATGTTTATTGCAAAATAAATATTTCTTGTGCTTATTTATTTGATTCTCAATTAAAACAACAATTTCAACATTATTGTAAATAATATAACCAAGGTAACACCTGTGGTATTACTTAATCTGTCAACTGCGAGCTTACATATCAATTGTACAAAGAATGATCGGGATCGACCGGTCATGATGACAAGAAACCGGATTGGAAAAATCCTGATTGGAGCATCCCTACTGGAAATGCCACTCAGAGCAGTGCAAGTAAAACCGGAGGGACTACAAACAAGCATGATAGATAAGGAAATGACAAGACCACCATGTTATAGAGTGCAACAGTCAGGTTCAGGAAAGAAAAAAATCATTTTCTCCATTGGGGAATACATTTTTTGCACTCTATAGTTTCCAGGACCAAACAATGCAATCCAAAGAATGACATTAAAGTCTGAAGGGAATGCCCTAAAACACTGAAAGGGACCGGTCTCGTCTCAGTTCCTGTTGAACCTCCCATAAGCTGACTCCAGGCCTGACCCTGGTCACTATTGTATCTCCATTCACATGCATTTGTCTGCACTGATAAGATTTCTATGTTTGCTGAGGTAGAGGTGGGGTTGGCTGTAAACAGAGACTGCTACACCCGTTGAATTAGCATGAGAATGCTGGGATTGAGAGTGTAGATTTTAATATGAAATGAGTGTCTGGAGCTGCTGACCTGAGGCAGGGTTCATGATGTTCTGTTGCTGGACAGGCACTGGGCTTGGCGGGGCGGCCTGGTTCATCTGAAGGAGGGCCTTGCGCGGGTCCTGCCAGGTGGTCGTCTGGTCATGATGGCTATGGGGAGACAGATGTACATTAAAAGGGCTATCAGGCATAACTATGGTGGCTGAGTTATGAATCATAATGAGCTGCCTCTTTGGCTGGACGTATTAGGCCAAAACAAAACTGCCAATTTTAAATAAGGGACACAGAATGAATTTAAAAAAAATATTTATTATAATAACTCATATTTTTTATTGTATTTGCAGTATTTTTTTTTACGCAATTTTAAAAAAGTCAAACAAATACAATTATTAAATGATTATAAAATATCTCATATACTTAATATTAATAAATATTTGTAATTGATATTAGAATTTTCTAAGGGTTTGCATTTATATATATATATATATATATATATATGAAGAGTTCAGATGCAAAAGCCTCTAAATGCCATTTGAAATTTTCTTCTTTAATGATGATTTTTGTCAAGCTTGTATATTTAAGTTCAGTGATTTCACTTAAATGGCAATGATAATTACCTATTAATTGTTATTTAAGTGAAATTACTGAACTTAAATATACAAGTTCGACAAAAATCATCATTAAAGAAGAAAATTTCAAATGGCATTTAGAGGCTTTTGCATCTGAACTCTTCATATATATATATATATATATATATATATATATATATATATACACACATACAGTACATATATAACACACACACACACACACACACATATATATTTACACAGACACACACACACATACATGCATACACATATGCATCTCTATGCATATATATTTATACACACATACACAAACACATTTTTGACCCCTTTTCCACAAGTAAATATAAAATAATAATATAATAAGTTTAGCTATACTGAATAAAATTAAAAGTACATTATTTAACATATATGGACTGATTATTTATTAAATGTGTTTCTATTCATGTCATTGTTTTTCTTATGTTGCCCAAAATGTTGTCTAGGTCAGCAGCACCCTAGATTTTAAAATACAGCCGATAACAATGTATAGATTTATGAGAATATAAGGCATGTTAACAAAGGTGCGCGTCAAGGGCAGTGTACTACCATATAAACAACTGTTAAGTATCCCACATTGGTTTATTTGATCCAATCCGAGTGCTCAGATAAAACTCACGGCAAGTGGAACTTTTAAAAGATCTTTAAACACCTGAACACCGATCCATTTTCACAGAATCTCAGCCCTTTAATCTGTATAAGCAAAAGCGAGCAAGAACCAAACATCTCCGAAGCCTCCTGCAAGCAAACGTAAATGATGGTCTGTCCTTTTAGCAATGAAATAGCCAATCATTTCGTCTGCTAAAAATAGGCTCTTATGAAAAGTCCATTTCGTAAACTTTACAATTGCCACCCACTCTTGTGTCGGATCTGCTGATGTATTGCTGTGTAGGAGGGGGCGTGGATTATGGTGAACTTCGACCCAGTTTACATGTGATTTGCCTGCGTGCAGTGGACTGAACCGGTGTCATCTGTGAATGAAGTCACCGATTACTGTGTAAAGTCAGTGATGAATAACACGGTTACTGGAAAACAAATCAATGAGTCTAAAAGGAGAGACTGAGCTAACTTACACCCTTCTGTTTATTCAGATCTTAGACAGCAGGGTGGCAGTGAGAGAAGAGCTGCTTGACACAGTGTTGTTTTCTCTTTCACTGCAGTTTATCACTTAAAGGTTAAGCAGTCTATGCTGGAAAACAGGGGGGCTTTTGGGCCTCAATCTCAACATGAATACTCATCGAAATGACCAAAAGTCTTAAAGGAGCAGTTCACTTTAAAAAAAAAAAAAAACACTTTTCCTGATAATTTCCTCACCCCCATGTCATCCAAATGTCCATGTCATTCTTTTTTCAGTCGAAAAGAAATTAAGGTTTTTGATAAGAACATTCCATGGACTTCAATGGGAACCAAATGGTTCAAGGTCCAAAAGACAGTTTCAGTGCAAACTGTTCAAAGGGCTTTAAACGATTTCAGATGATGAATAAGGGTCTTATCAACGAAACGATCGCTCATTTTAAAAGACAACAACAAAGTTTAAGTTTTATAAGCTCAAATGCTGTGATGCGCGTTCGTGACTCTCCTATTCGAACTAGTTCGTCAAAATGAGCAAATCTTTTCCCGAGTCAACTTGTTCGCTTCATTCGTTGAATGAACCAAATGACACGAAAAAAGAAAAAAAAGATTCGTTAATTTTGATGAACGAGTTCGAACAGAAGAGTCACGAACACGCATCACAGAACAGACCAAGGCGACAATTTAAGCTTATAAAACTTTACTATTAAAATTTTTTTTTTTTAAATGAGCGATCGTTTCGCTTGATAAGACCATTATTCATTGTCTTTAATCGTTTAAGGCCCTTTGAACATTTCGCAGTTTGCACTGAAACTATCTTTTGGACCTTGAACCGTTTGGTTCCCATTGAAGTCCATTATATGGAGAAAAATCCTGGAATGTTTTCATCAAAAACCTTAATTTCTTTTCGACTGAAGAAAGAAAGACATGGACATCTTGGATGACATGGGGGTGAGTAAATTATCAGCAAAAGTATTTTTTAAAAGTGAACTACTCACCTACAAATCCAACATTGGTCTGCTTTCTAGCTCACTATCAGTACATTTCACATGATCTAATCTCACAGCTTCCTTGAGATCAAACCTGACAACCCCTTTCCTTCCTAAACACTGGCTGCTAATCTTTACACTTTCTTTTAAACAAAAGAAGTCTTCCAAGAAAATGGTTTTGGTGTCCTGAAGGCACATGCACGCAATTTACGAGCAGTGTTTGGGATGGAGTGGGTGGTTCAAAAGACCCACGCTTGGAGGTGACGCAAGTTCTGTCAGGTCTACGAAACTACAGCCAGTGCGTATTATGCGCTTAAGTTTTTAACTCAAAATATTGCTGTGGGTACTAGTAAACACTACTGAAAGAAGCAGTTTTATGCAACCTCAGGGCAAATCAGGCGGTTGCGAAACGCTAATGAACACTAATGAAAACGGGCAGCAACACTTGGTGTTAGAGGCATTTCTAATGACGGCTTTGTTTGGGCTTGTTGCTCGATTAAGATGTAGAGCTAACTGAGGAAAAGGCCCCTCTTTTTCCCGCTCCCACTCTTTCTCTTTCTCTCAGGCGAAGGCCTGTACATTCAGGCAGGGTCAGTCATGGGTCTCCTCCCAGGAGGTTTCTTTCTCTCCCTGCCTGTTCCAACACACTGAAGTGTCAGGCTCTTTAACAATCTGGCGCCAGTTTTACAAAGCCTTCACCTGCTGGACAAAAGCTCAGACCAAGCTACGACCCAAAACCCAAAATGCGATTCACTTGTTCCTCTTTTCCCCCCAGCTCTGCTCTCTTTCCCTATTTAAGACAGGTTTTGTCGCTGAAAACGTGAGATTTGCAAGTATTGAACTTGACTAAAGACGAATAAATCAATTTCAAGATTATTGGACTCAGCCGATAAACACGTTTGATTTGACAATAAACAAGTTTCGCTGGCTCCTAAATCTACTGACAGCCTTTTTTTTGTGAATTTTACATAAACATTCTGCAAAAATGTGTTTCATTTTAAGCAAATGAATGTAGACGTCACTGACATAATATAAATTAATTATACAATTCTAATTTAGAGTCGTCAATTAGCATTTTAAATTACAATGTTGTGGTACTTTTCAAAATGACGTAGCCCTCAAACCGTATTCACTTTATAGGCCTTAATCCTGTAATTGTGGACAAATGAGGACTCGGGTGTTATCCTAATTTTTATTTATCATAAATGTTATATCACTGTCTTCGATAAAGTTTTGTCTATCCATTTATGGTGTTTTTTTTAATTTTGGGGTTATTTTTGAATTTATTTACTTCAAAAAGTAACATATTTTCTATGTAAATTATGCATTTTATTTTTTAAAATTTTTAACTACATTAAAATATCATTCCAATAAGTTCTTAGAGCTAAAACCTAAAGATGAAGTGACTTTGCTGTCACTTGCAGTCTTATTTTGGCTTATTTTAGAATGCTCTAAATTAGTTTTCCCATTCATTTCTACGGGTGCCCATTTTTGACCCAAATACACGATTAATGAGTTTTTTTTTCACCCACTTAACATTGTAGAATTGATTCAAAAATCAATGTGCGTTCAGGAGGCAAACTTAGGAAAAGAAGCCAAGTCTTGTACCGCTCAGATCAAGGGAAGTATTTTTTAAAAATAAATCAAAACTATTTTGCCCACATTTGTCCAGAATACTTGTTTTAGGGTTAAAACAATTGCAAAATTAACATTTAAAGTGAATGCATTTATTTACAAAAAGGAAAAACCTGACTCACCCCAAACCTTTGAAAAGTAATGTACATTTATAATACATAGGCATCAGTATATTTATAATACTGGCATTAATACATTTATAATACTGCAAATCGCCATTATATTGACCATCGACTATTCTGACCCATTGCTATCGGCAGCAGCATTTGAAAACCCCATATTGTTTGGCCAATAGTCTTGATAGGTTGGACGGCTGACCGCTAGTCTACTGGAAGAGAGACCGCATACAAAATTGTGCAACTTTCCCACCGGTTTGTTAGCAATACAAAATTTGCAAGAGTCTTTATTTCCCAACATAAACAGTCCTGTGACAATTTTTTCCTGCCGTCACTTTCTCTTCCCAACTAATTAGTCACTATTCCGACATCACTGCCTTATGAGAAAGGGAGGGAGCTAGAATAACAAAAAGAGGAGAGAAAAAGAGAGAGACTGACTCAGCACTTCACCACCCCTCTCTTCTCTAAGCTCCCTCTTGTTTATGCTTTACTGATCAAAGGAACTGCCAAAAACTGCCCCTCTCCCACCCACCTACCAGTAAGCCACCCTACCCCCAACCCACACACACACACACACGGGCCGTAGCAGACGAGGAACAGGGGCCTCTTCAGGAGGGTCACAGGGGAGGGCCAAATGACCGTCAAACAAAAAGAAAAGGCCACAGAGGAGGAAAAAACGAGCGCGGAAGCAATCCCTCAGAACTCCATTGGCT